TTTAATGAGGACCCAGTGTCAGATGAGCAGTCTGACAGTTTGGAAAGAGTGATGGAGTTACTGCTGGCGAGACAGGAAAAACTGACTCTATGCTCTAGGTGTTTCCAAGGGGCAGCATGTGAACAAATTTGAGGCATCTACAGATAGATCCTTGGAGGATATCAAAAGTAATGGAGTGTCTATAAAAATTGAACCAGAATGGTTCCACTCTTAGACAACAAAGGAGAATCATTTGGAGGAGGATGGTGTGATGAACAAAGGCACACAGGTCAAGAAGGACAAGGAGCTAAAGATTATCTTTGTCAGAGTTACATAGGATGTCATCTGGGACTTTGTGAGTTGTTTCATACTGTGGCAGTGGCAGAAACCTGATTGGAAGAATTCAAATATGGGGTTCTGGGAATGACAGGGATAAATTCAAGAGGTGACAATACACTCAAACACTTTGAAGATGAAAATGAGCAAGCAAGGATGCTGGGCTCAAGGACTGGTTTCTTGAGAGAAGTGACGGTGGCAGATTCAAAAGACAAAGGGACATCTGAAAGGAAAGAACCATTTACAATACTTGCTAATGCAGGGATCAGGAAGGGAAGTTGGGCAATATGCTGTTTATTGAAAATAGGATTGGGGGAATCAGGAGATTGGTCTCCAGGACAAGATGACATCAGAGGGCATGTGGTAACATAGCAGAAAAATCAGAGAAAATTCCAAGTTTGGGTTTAGAGCAGGGGGAGCTTTAGTTGAAGGGAGATGGCAGGAACAATTAATTGGCTGGCCTTAGTCACAGTGACAAAGAAGTGCATGAACCATACACATTCACATCCAGTTTTGGAGGTAAGGATGGAAGGGAGAGGACCTAAAGAAGATAGTTTGCACACTGTTCTACCTGATACCTGACCTTTTGGATATATGCCTCTCACAAAATCTATCAATGTGGCTGGCTGTGCAACCCAACTTTTAAATAGAGTCATTGAGCCATACAGCATGGCAGCAGATACTTTGGTCCCACCAGTCCATGCCAAACACAATCCCAAAATAAACTAGTCCCACCTGCCTGATGTTGGCTCATATCCCTCCAAACCTTTCCTATTCATGTACTTATCCAAATGTCTTTTAAACATTGTAATTGTACACACATCCACCACTTCCTCAGGAAGTTCATTCCACACGCGAACCACCCTCTGTGTAAAATACTTGCCCCTTAATTCCTTTTTAAATCTCTCTCCTCTCACCTTAAAAATGTGCCCCCTAATCTTGAAATCCCCCATCTTAGGAAAAAGGACAACCCTCATGACCCTATTTTTGCCCCTCATTACTTTATAAACTTTTATAAGATCGCCTCTCAAGATCTTATGCTCCAATGAAAAAAGTACCAGCCCATCCAGCCTTTCTTCATAACTCAAACTTTTCTTACCTGGCAACATCCTGGTAAATTTCTTCTGAACCCTCTCCAGCTTATTAATATCCTTCCTATAACTGGGTCACCAGAACTAGATGCAGTATTCCAGAAGAGGCCTCATCAACATCCTGTCCAACCTCAAAATGATCAAATGCTATCACCAAAGGATTGGGCAATGAAGGCAAGCATGCTAAACACCTTTTTAACCACCTTGTCTACATGTGACGCAAACTTCAATGAATTATGTGTCTGAACTCCAAGGTCAAATCACATATTGGAGCAGCTACTACTGTGATAAAGGAAGCATGGTTTGACTTTCCCCAATTATCCTGCACTATGAGGAACCTGTTAGGTTTAAAGTATGCTCTGCATTTCTGAAGGAGCTATGATTAGAATTTCCTGCCAGAAATATGAGTTTGTTCGTAATAAAAAAAATGTAGGAGTAGAATGGCAATCTGCCTGTGATTGCCATTCCTTAGAAAAATCCAGCCTAACATCTCATGTGAAATTCTGCATCACTCTTAATTATCAGTTTTATTTTTAGTTTCCCAAATTATCTATCACAACAGTGGTGCTGTGACCGTGTTCATAAATAGGCCAAGGTGGCATCTAAAGCCCAAAGTAAATTAAATTTAGGAAAATAGATTTTGATTCACTTAACTGAGGTTCAGTCACATTTAAAACATGTTATCACACTACCACAGTTAGTAGAATTCTGTGATTCTATATACACCCTACACCACTCCATTCTTTATTTCACTTTCCTCCTTCAAAAAATTTTTGAAACCCACCTCATTAAGCAAGGTTTTGGTCATCTGCCCTAATACTCCCTTATGTTTTTCAGGATCAGACTTTGTTTTATAATGTAGCTGTGAAGCATCTTGGAATGTTCAATTATATTAAAGGTGCTAAATATAACTTGTAAAATTGCTTACAAAAGAGCATGCTACAAGAAATAAGGAATAAGTGGGATTGTTGAATTAGGCAGGGACCAACAGGTCATTTTCTCTTTCACCATTTTGGTGAAAAATAGGCAGAGTAGAGGTAGAAGGTAGAAACTTATGTGACTTTCATTTCCTACAATTATACTCAGGATAACTCTCCTTGTCCCACTCCTGCAGTGTGCCCTCTTGAATCCTGCAGTGATTTATCCTTCTGTCCTCTCCCCTTCATTATCTCTCATGTTGCATTTGGTGACAATGTCCGTATTCATTAGGGCAGTTTTCACTGATGACTACTCAGCTCTCATTATTATACAGTCTCTTTATTGCTTCATTGTTTAGTTCTAAGTGAGTTATTTTTATAGAGTCCCTACAGTGTGGAAACAGGCCCTTCAGCCCAACAAGTCCACACCAATCCTTGGAATGTCCCACCCAGACTCGTCCCCCCATAACCCACATAAGCCACACATCCCCGAACACTATAGGTAATTTAGCATGGCCAATCCACCTAGCCTGCACATCTTTTGGACTGTTGGAGGAAACCAGAGCACCCAGAGGAAACCCATGCAGACATGGGGAGAACGCGCAAACTCCACACAGACAGTCATCCGAGGGTGGAATCGAACCCGGGTCCCTGGTGCTGTGAGAGAGCAATGCAAACCACTGAGCCACCGTGCCACCCCACCACTGAGCCACTACGCTGCCCCAGTGTGGTTTCTTGCATCATTAGAAAAATTCATCATGTTCAATCATTATCTGAACATTTATAACGTTGACACCAGTTTCATTCCCCTTTACCGAGGCACTGCATGAAACCAGATTGTCCTGTCAGACTCCATGTTGAGCTTCTGACATCAAATTCTCTTCAACCCAAAATCCTTCTGCTTCCATCTTTGTAATACTGACCACCTTAGTCATTGAAACCTTTATCCGTGTTTTCCTCAACTCCTGACTCAAAGACCTTGATTTTATATCCCCTGCTTAATCAAAGCCAAGCAGCTATGAAACCAATAATTTTCCCACTGCTTCCAGATGTTAACCTGCATTTTTGAGCAGGTGAGGGCATCACAGTGGCTCAGTGGTTAGCACTGCTGCCTGACAGCGCCAGGCACCTGGGTTCGATTCTACCCTCGGGTAACTATCTGTGTGGAGTTTGCACATTTTCCCCGTGTCTGCGTGGGTTTCTGCTGGCTGCTCCAGTTTCTTCCCACAGTCCAAAATTAGCCGTGCTAAATTGCCTGTGGTGTTCAGGGATGTGTAGGTTAGGTGTGTCAGCCATGGGAAATGCAAGGTCACAGGGAAAGGGTAGGGGATTGGGTCTGGGTAGGATGTTCCTTGGCGGGTCGGTGTAGACTTGTTGAGCCAAATGGCCTGTTACCACAGTGTAGAGATTCTATGAATGGGACATCTACAGGAAGGAGGTTGGATCCCTCTTTGAAGATGCAGGTTGGATCTGATTCACAATTTTAGTTGAAGACCTGCATGGAGGAGTAAATGGCTTCCTCTTCAAGCCAGAGATGGTTGGCCAAAGAAAAGGCCCCAAGGCTAAATTTGGTACATGTAAATTGAAGGTAGTTCTCATAAGTAAACTTTGAACCTCTCTGTCCCGGGCTGCAACTTTCCATCCTTATCGTGACCACCACACCATCACATTCAGGTGCTTTACACTCATATCCATTGGACCCACCCCTCTTTAAATGCAGGCCAGTTAATCCAATGTTCTCCTTGCCATTCTCCTATCCAACACTGTCCACAAATTGCAGCTGATCTAAAACTCTGCTGCCTGTATTCTGTCCACAAAGGCCCGTTTTCTCATCAATCCTAGTCTAATTCACCGTCATATCACTTTTCAACTGTAACATAACTTCATCCCACCTTTGCATTACTTTCTATTTCTTTGAATCTACTCTCACAAGTCCATCTTTAAATCATGCTTTTAGCCACCTAAGCCCATACCGAGTCATCTGTTTGTTGTCATCTCTGTCTGCCCATATACAATTGAGAAACTTGAGTTCATCATTTTATTTTGGTAGTTAAATATCATTAGAATCTTTAATACAAACCCTGTGTTTTAGTAAATCTATCCTGGTTAGGAGTGGGTGCAGGCAAACTTTCAATTTTGCATGTTTATATATTTCTAAATGACTGGAAATGTGATACACTTTGTCAGAAGATCCACAATGAGGCATGGTTTGAGGCACGTTAATTCATGGTTATTTAACTGATCATTTTGAACTATATTTTAATAAATGGAGGCTCTTGTGACATTGCATTATATTGATTGGCAAGTGAAAATGGCATGTAGGAAGAGAAGTTTTCTTAAAGGCACAGGCTAACTTACATAAACCATCCATTGCAAAGTTCTGTTATTTTAGAATGTTATCTGAAATGGACCAAAACAGGATAGGACCAGGTCTCTTGTTTGGTTTGGAACGCATTCCCACCCACTGTACCCTCCTTTAGTAACAGTGCTATTAGTTGTCATGGTAACAAAGATGAATTCATGCCTGGTTACTGACAATATTTCAATAGCTCTTTCCGAAACCTCTCTTCATTTGATCTGAGATTAACTAACTACAGTACAGATGCCTTTGGAGTAAAAGATTCAGAGTTGCACATTGGATTATAAATAAAATCTTTCATTTTTCCCATTTACCAAGAGTACCCAGTATGGATTCAACAGGAATAACACACCAATGAGGAACACCAGCATGAAGGGATGATAGCAAGCAGTGTAAACAGTGTGAAGCAGATTGGTGCAGTGAAAATGGATGATGCTCCTGTTGATAACAGGGAATTTGATCTCGCTCAACATGACACTGACGATTCAGAGCGAGAAGGAAAGAAGCACGTACCCATTCGCAGGAATTCTTTGTTTTACCGATCCATGAGGAGGAAACGACATACCAAGAGTCAGTTTGAATCAGCACCGAGACAAACAGACAGTAAGTTATTGACATGTATGATCACAATCAATAGAATGTACAGGGTCACAGAATAGTCATGGCACCTCACTGATGAAAAGCAATATTTAATTATTTTCACATTGTTACAAATGATAACTGACCTGACTTTTTTTAAGAGAAATTCTCCTGATTTTCTTTCTATCTCTCCTGACTTATGCTGGAATAAGGATCCATGTGAAACCAGACTGCTTTCTGCCACCTTGTCCAATTGCTCATTTGCCACATGTAAGTTTACAGTGTGTGTGTCAACAGGTAAATCGTTACAGAGACTCTACCAAGGAATGAGGGTTTTGAACCTCTTCCCACTGGGCACCCAAATGCACACAGATTTCTGTGAATAATACTGAAGAGTGAGAACACTCCCTGATTTAAGGGAAGTACAACCAATCAACTATTCCCCCAACCGAGATTGTGCAACCCAATGCTAACCAAGAATTGAATTTGGAATCTTGCTGGTCAATGGATGCTTTTGCCAGTAGAGCATTTGGTAGAGTTCTGACCACATCTCTGAGACACTAATGAATGTTGATATAAATTATACTGTAACATCATTCATCAGTTTATGTCTTGGTATTCATGTTGTTAAAGAGGTAGTCTCTTGGTAATTAATGAGGGATAATAACAGAAAAATCACCACCATTATTTTTGTCGTGATAAGGTCCTGTGCAAATGGCATGATGCAAGTAAGGGTTGTGAAATGATTTGCTCTAAAGCAATGCAACATTTTAGTAAACAAAAAAGGCTTGACAAACATTTTCTTTCATAATCACAGTGCCCCCTTAAGAATAATGAATGATCTAAAGTGCTCTTGCTTACAGTGAAATACTGTAAGCGCACAGAGCTAGCAGTCAGTTTGCCCAGGCAACATCTCCAAAGCTTTTCATTCAGAACACAAGAGTTCAGACCCTGTTACTCAGGTAGGAGGAGGGATTTAACATAGTTTCTGTTTGTGTAATGTATAAATAATGTTTCTGAGTCTTGATGCTTGGGATATTTAAAACAATTTGGCTGTTGAAGATTGATTTTTTTTTTGTTCAAAATCATTCACTGATTGAGACTGATCTCTGATACGAAAATGCTACAATACAGTAAAAAATAATTTTTCAAAAACTGCAGATAAATGCCGGTGTGAACGGGTTAGATCAAATAAACTGTTCCTGTGCCGTATGTCTTATATAATTTAACATCACATTCTAAACAGTAATATGTAGGAGGGGTTTATACAATATGCTCCTGTGATTTCACTGGAATCAGAGTGTCCAGCACTGCCTCATTTGAGTGACCATTCTTTTTTTTGGAACATGTTGTTAGCAGTTCAATCACATGATGCATCAAGTCATGTACCCCTTTGTTGACAAGCCTTTAGAAAGGGAGTCAACCTCAGGTGAGGTTGGCTCACCAAGCAGAGATCAGCCAATTCAAAAGAGTCTGAGATTAATCTGGGCTCCCCAGTCAATAACAGCAACTGCAATAAATGTGCATTTACTTATTGAACTATCAGGAGAGCTAACTCATTCATTTAGTAATGAGTAAATGTGATTTGTCTAATTTAGAAGATATTTATAAATGTAACAGCATAGCAGTGTGTTATGTGGGATTGAATTGACAGCTTCGGCAGAGCTTATACAATGGCAATCACTCTAATATTATGTAACCTATTTTGTTTTACAATTTAAGCATTCACAAAATCATTGGAATCCAGGATTAAATTATTGTTCCTAAACTGTCAAGGCTCCTTAATTTTTTCCAACCAAATTTCCCATACCATCTCCTTATCATAACAGATGGTAACCAAACAGAGATATGGTTAATGTTGGTGAGAACGTAACTGATGAAAAGTTGATTTCATATATAGCTTTTTAAAAATTGAATAATTATGCAATGATTAAATAATAGCATTCAATTCAAACGTTGAATAGGGAAAATCATTCTTTAAAATGATAAAAGCAAATGAGTAAATTAAGTATAAAACTGAACAAAGTAGTATATGTTTGAGAAAATGTAAGAATGCTGTAGCTGTGTTGTTATGAAATGGTGAGGTAAAATGGTGTATCTGTGAATAAAAAGGCTGAACAATGGGGAAGGATGGTGGCATGAAAAAAAATAACAATTTTGGAAAAAAAAGCAAATGAAGAATCTTGATTGAGAAAAAGCTCTCAAATACAAAGTCCAAGCATTAGTTATGTGTTACCAGTGCATCATAACTTTTCTACTATTCTCTGCAATACCCTGGCTAACACTGAAAAGCTGAAACTCAACTAATTGGTTTTCAGTCGTTGAATTACAAAACTCAGAAGATTGGTGGAAAGCTCATTGTTTCTGTGTTTTACGACTGATCCAAAGCATTCCCCTTTGAACGAAGGAACGAAAAAACAATCATGAATGTTTCAGCTTGAAATCCGGGCAACAACCCCATCTATCCTATTGGTCAGCAAAAAATCTTTATTAGGTTATTCCAACTCAGTATATCTAGCAATTTCTCTTGAAGGTTTTATTGCAGTATTGAAGAAAGGATGTTCAGAGCCTTTCAGGAAAGCACTGATGACTTCTCTTGTTTTTGAGATAATAGCAATTTCCAATGGAAGGATTCCATGCAATAAAGTGTTGGTACTAGAATTGGAGCAACATATTTTGGTTTCAGTTGTGTTTAGCATGTGATGATAAATTGAAAGAGATAATTTCAGTGTTTGCATTTGTACAGGAAGCAAAAAAATTGCACAGTTCTATAACTCACCAGAAATAAAATTAACTTTGAGAATGATTGGTTATCGTTGCAGAAAGCTGGAGGTGGACTTAAGTTGTGAGGAATGTGGTAATAATAGAAATGCAGTCTGAGCTCTTGCAAATGAATAATCTTGGCATTGTTAATATCAATTTATGAAAATAGGAAATTATTTCTATAGGTCAAGTTTAACAAATGGAAATATATTTCAAAATGTGTTCTCTCCCAGCAACAAGGGATGGGTGGGTTCAGTGGGTTTAAACCTGCATATTTTTTTCCTTCCTTTCATGTCTACAGACACAAATCATTTTCTAGCCCACGCTAATTTTTTCTATTGGTTCTATACAGGAATGCAATACTGTGTATGTCAATTGCCATCCAGTATTTGACTTGAGTGCCCCACTATTAATTACATATGCCTTGGCAGTGAATGTCAGAAGGCTCTGACTTAGGCCTACACTTACCTGGCATTCACAGATGGTCAAAGATGTTAAGCATTGAAATGTTTCTAGTTTTCTGTAAATTATACAGACTCTGTATTTACTTTCCTGCATAAGACTATCTTCTTCAGATACCGTCTTGGGTACTGTCCATGAGAAGATGGTATCTATATGACAGAATATAGATTAATAATAGATCAATACAATATCAGATTATTTATTAATAATCTATCAATAGAAGTTAGACTGTTAAGGACTCTTGTGGTATAGTCATAGAGTCCCTATCTCTGGACCAGGAGGTCTAGGTCCAAGTCCCACTTATTTCCTATCTCTGAACCAGGAGGTCTGGATTCAAGTCCTACCTACTTCAGAGGTGTATAATAATATCTCTAAACAGGTTGATTAGAAACTATCTACAAGTTGGACCGAAACAGAAAATCCAAATGCAAAAGTTAAGTCTTGAGGTCAGAAAACTCAGTACTCAATTTACATAAAATCAATTTATGGCAAGCACCCAAACAATAAAAGACAAAAAAAGTATGCAGTTTGATAGACTGAGCTGCAGCTCCAACAAAATCTGGAAAGATGAGATAAATTAATCTATTCAAGTGTCCCATGGAACGTGAAAAATGATTATGAAAAGCTGAATGAGAATCAAGCAGTCTGGAAAAAGTCTATCATAAAAGAATAGGAATGAAAATGATAAACCTTTTTTTGTACCAGCACAATATTCTTTGCTAAAACTTTAAAAAATATTGAGATCTAAAAGAATGATCAATCTACCAAGTACTTCCAGCATTTGATGTATTTGGTACAGTAATGACATCACAGCTTTGGAAGGGCATAGAAACAAAGCAGGAAGTATTGAAAATTGATGTCACTACAAGGCACACTAGGAAGATGAAATCAATATTCTACGAGCATGAGGATGCACTGCTACAGAATTGTGAAATGGAGGGAAGGTTAAAAGCCTTGATAGAATGGAGAAGCATTCGTGATATTGAACAGAAGAATTAAGAGGGCCAGAATGTGAGGTGGAATCAGGCCTGAGGAAACAACAAAACTGGTATCAGAACAGAACTGTTTGGAAGCTTCTGTAGAATTTGCACTTCTGAAATGAGATTATACTCTGGTTGCTAAGAAGCATAAATGACACTCCATTATGAACGTAAATGTTGAAGCATTAGTTGTGATACAAGTAAATCTTGGTTCTTTACCAAATCAGGATTTTTTCATGTTTCGTAGGCTTTCAGTTAAATTATTTACAATTCAAGCAACCTTAAAGGCAATCTTCTTAAAAATTACAATTTCTGCATTATTATCAGATAGATATGTTGGATAATATATTACAGGACTATAAATAATGTATAATATTTGAAGTTAATACTGGTACATGTATCTTCAGGTTCTAGTACAGCATCCATGATTTTGAATCTTGAAGTCACTAAACTGAAGCCTAAAGTTTAATACAATGGCATGAAATTGGATTCTTTTTCTTCATATGGCAGTAAATAAAACAATACTTTTTGTTGCCCTTGCTACAAGTATGAACAAAATAATCACATTTAGTTGTGAATGTGTCAATGAGGTAGAAATCAGAAACAAATCACTAGATAACACATTCATAAGGTGTTACAACAATTTCAAGCTACCTTTCATAAACTCTGACTTATAATTTACAAAGCTCTGATTTTAAAAATATCTATTGAAAGCATATATTTGTCATCGCTTATTTTCTGGTGGATTCTATAAATATTGTAAAGTTCTTAAAACTATCCAAATCTAACCCATTGTAAATATAAATTGATAATTTTCAACCAACTGTCTTGTCATAGTGTAAAGTATGTAAATTCCTAGGGGGCATGCCTTGATTGAAACTACACCTTATATCAGAAAATTAATAATACATTTAGTCACTTAATCTTGTTTTGTTGCATGGTAACATGTAATGTGTTATTTATGTTGAACTTTTTCTGTGTTTCATTTGCTTAGATAGCCACAAGACCATGAAAAGAGATGGCCTGCAGGAAAGACCAAAAGAACTAGGACTTGCCCCCAAATCTTCTGATTCACTGCCTTGCTGGAAAATTCCCACTATCACCCCACAGCACATGCAGAGATCTCCACTATTCAGCGACAACCTTGGGTAAGAACATGAGTAAACAACTCTTGTTTGATATTTTTATGGAGCAAACACAGTGAATTTCTGATATGCTTTTTGACTTGTTTCAACAAGTCTCCAACTTATTCTCCAACAAGTTTTCTTGCATAAATTTTAATCTGATTTTTAACTCAAGGTGGATATCAGACAGGTAGCAGCAAACCACCTTGGCAGCGAGAGACCTAGGCCCCCAGTCAGTTCCCAGTAACACTAGATAGGAGCAGCTCTTTGCTATTGAGCAGGAATGGAATATCAGAAGGCCATTGGCAGGGAATGAAAAGAGGAGTAGGTTTAAATTGACTCCGAAGGTTGCACAGAAGGGATTACAGTAATTTCATAAATATATGTTGAAGCAAATGTCTTTGTTTGAATATTCATGCTAATATATGCACCAATGATTGTGAGTTCTCATCACCCAGTCATGAGAAGGGCATTGTCTTGAAGAGTTAACTAATTAAAGAAATAAAGGTGGTTCCTGATAGTAGACTTCAGGAAAGATTTTGCTTTTAGTAAATTTTGAAAAGTTTGCGCCTATCTAGATGAATCCAGCTAGTTTTATTTCAGGCACCAGTGAAGTATTAGCACTGTGTGGTTAGGTATAGCCAGCTACATGTAGGATTAAGGCTCCTTTTACTCGATACTACAAAGTATGTCAGCCCTGACACCAGAAAAGCACATGCTCATGTGCAGTGGGGCAATGTTTCTTCTCCGTTTTTGATGTTCTGTAGCTCTCTTGGTCAAATGTAGTTTCAATCAGGACCAAATTAGGGAAAGTTTTTGTACCACAGTAGCACACTCACTAGAAATTAAATTCAGATGGTCTAATTCTCCCCTCCAACCTCCACCCTTATCTGACCACATCAGCAAACCCTCAATTTCAGTGCTTTCCAAACCTTTTCCTGCTGTGACCCCATTTTGAGGCTTGAAATTGTTGTGATTCTCAAGTGACAACTAGGAGTGAGGAGATTGGAGGTTGTGAGAACAGAGGCCTCTTAGAGCAGATGTGTAGCTGTTATAACTTGAACAGAGTCCACAATGGCCATTACAGCCTCAGAGCACACAATTGCAAAATTTCAACTTGTGACCCCACCTGGTCTCCTGACCCCCACTTTAGGAAGCCCTATCTCAATTTAGTATCCGTTGTACTTGTCTAGCTTAAATGCATCAGCAGTGTTGGTCTTAACTATTCTTTATTGCAGAGCTCTGCACCACAGCATTGTCTCGAATTTAAAAAAAATGTTACTTCTGAATTTACTGTTTGATTTCTTGGTGACGACCTTGAATGTGATGCCCTCTAGATTTATCCTTCCCCATAAGTGGATACATTCTCTGTTTACTCTATCAGAATCTTTCATAACTTTCATAATCTCTATTAGATAACCCCTCCGCCTTCTCTGCACAAATAAAGAAACCCAGTCTGTGTATCCTGATAAATATGACCTCTCAGTTTTACTATTGCCTTAACTATAAATTCTTATGAACTCTCCATAGTGCCCTTTTTTTCCAATAAGGTGACTAAAGCTTTATACAGTACTCCTAGTATGCAAATTTCAAGTTTAGCATAACTTCCTTACTTTTCAATTCTATCTCTCTAGAAATAACTCCTAGCGGTTGGTTTACTTTTTCTTTTAATGGCTTCATTGGCCTATGCTGCAACTTTTAGAAATTTGTCAGTTTCTGCTTTCATTTTCATTTTCTTGTCTAGTTTATTTGAATCATTATTTTCCATGTAAAATGTGACCTTGTTATTTTTTACCAGTGTATAACCTCACACTTGGCTGTGTTGAAATTAATTTGCCAATTGTCTGTCCACTTTGCAAGTTTATTAATGTCATTTTGAAATCGGTTGCAGCCCTCTGTAGCGTTGACTATCCCTCTCTATAAGGAGTAATATAGTCATTTACCCTCTATATGGGATAAATTTAGGAATTGTGTTTTTGATTTCAAATTCTATATTGTTAATATGAATTGTGAACAAGAGTACTCCCAGTCCTGATGTTTTTGGGACCACAGTTGCCATCTGTTATCACTTGGATTTGCAGCTATCCTTTACTGACTTCCACTCTCTGCTTTTTGTCTAGCAGCCAGTTAGCCATCATTGTACAGCTTATCCCTAATTCCAAAGGTTCTGATCTTATTCATTTGTCTGCTATAGGGAGCTTTATTGAAGATTTTTGGAAATCCATGTTTACTCTATTACCGTTTTCTACTCTCACTTTTACCTCTTCAAAAAATTCAATGAGTTTTCTCAAGCAAGGCTTGCCCTTTTGAAATCCATGCTGACTGTTCATTGTTACATTTTTGGTATTGAGATGTTTCTGTATTTTCTCCACTCATGGTTGTTCTATTATCTTTCATACTATCAATGTTTAAGTGACTGATCTATAGTTTCCTCTACACATGTTCTTACTCCCTTCTCAAATAAAGAAAATACTTTAGCTATCCACCAGTCTTCTGACAGTACACTTTTTCTAATGAATGATTAGGTATGTGTTATAGTGCCTCTGCTATCTCTACATTAGATTCTTTTAAAATTTACACTTTTCTCCACTTTGACATTGATCAGTTGATTTAATGACCTGGATTTCATGGTGGTAATGGTGAAAAGACAGTCAACATTTGCCATTCTTATGCTCTTGAAGCTAACAGCAACTAAAGAAGTCTATAGAATAATATGGAAATCCAAAAATTGTCAGTGACTCTACACTTCTCCTCAGGTTGAGGCCATCCCACCACGTTCACCCCAGGTCATTTCCATACAAGCTTTGTGAATTGCTGGATTTCACCACTGTGATAGAATACCAATATTTTATTTGTCTTTTAAGTTTGTTTACATTGATATTTTAACCTTGTGTCTATTTTTATCTGTTATATGCAAAAACATCCAGTTATATTCATTCATTTTGCTATTTAATGATTTAAATTAGAAATGAAGGCTAGTGTGCTTTTAGATTCTTGGTTTGCTGTCTGTGAGGATAATTCAATTTGATTTGCTGGTTATCCTTTTTGTTGACACCATGACTGCAGTATGCCGAGAGATCCCCTTGACCTGGCCACAGATTTAAGCTCATGTCATGAAAGGGGAAGTCCATGCTACAGAGATCATTAGGATCATTAGACTTTGGTGAGCAATGCTCTTTGAGAATGATAGTGAGCACCTTTGCATTGACCACCAAACCTACCCCATAATCCTTCAATTTTTATTTTGTATGTTGTAGTATAATTTTTAATCTCACCTTTCAATGTCATGTCCATCTTATTCACTTCCCTGGTAAATAATGAAGCAAAATAATTATTTAATATTTCAATATTCCTGGAAAAAGACCCATTCTGTTCAGATTATTCATCTTACACCAAAAGCGACAGCCTTACGGCCATTCATGAGTTTGCAAGACATATAGCAAGACAAGACCATCCCTCCTGGTCCTGAGAAGTGCCCAGGCAACCTTAGATTATTCTCGAAGGGTGAAGTATCTCAAATGTTTGAGCAGCAAGTGAAGCGAGCTGTTTTACCATGCTACAATGCAGGAACAACACAAATGATGCTTACCGCTAACAGAAAGCTGCCATCAAACCTAGAAATCCATGAGGCCCTGAAGACTATCATCAACAGCAGAATTTGTATTCAACCATATAACCCCATGGCCTGGCATCTCCACCAGTCTACTACTGCCGTCATGCCAGGGGATCAACTCTGGTTTAAGGAAGAGTCTTGGTGGGAATGCTAGGAGCAGCACTAGGTATGCCTAAAAAAATGAGGTGTCCTGATGAAGCCTCAAAACAGGACTAATTGCACGCCAAACAGCATAAGCAGCAAGTGATAGACAGAGCTAAATGACTTCACAACCCACAGATTAGATCTAAACTTTGCAATGCCGCCACATCCAGTCGTGAATGATGGTGAACAATTAAACAACTCACTGGAGCAGGAGGCCCCTCAAGCATCAACATCTTCAATAATCGGGGAGCCTAACTCAGTGCAAAAGATAAGGCTGAAGCATTTTCAACAGTCTTTAGCCAGAAATACTGAGTGGGTGATTCATCTCAGCCTCCACCGGATATCCCCAGTATCACGGATGTTAGTCTTCAGCCAATGTGATTAACTCAAGAAATGGTTGAAGGCACAGCATACTGCAAATATTACAAGATATTGCCATGACAACATTCCAGCACTAGTACCAAAAACTTGCTGTGCCTTTAGTCAAGCTGCTCTAGCACATCTACAAACTGGCATCCATCTGAAAACGTGGAAAAATGCCCAGTTATGTCCTGCAACACAAAAAATGACAAATCCACCCCATTAGTCTGTTTTTGATAGCTATGAAAGCAATGGAAAGGGTCACCGACAGTGCACCAAGCAGCATTTGCTCAGCAATAACCTGCTCAATGATGGTCAGTTTAGTTTCCATCAGGGTCAGTAAGCTCCTCACCTCACTACAGCTTTGCTGTGGTTCAATCATGGATGAAAGACTGAATTTGAGAGATGAGGTAAGAGTGACTGCCCTTGACATCATGGCTGCATTTAACTGAGCATCGAGGAGCCCTAGCAAAGTTGGAGTCAAAGGGAATCAGAGGGGAAACTCTCCGTTGATTGGTGTCATACCCGATATGCAGGAATATAGTTGTGCTGGTTGGAGGTCAGTCATCTTAGTTCCGGGAGTTTCTTGCAGTGGTGTATTAGACCCAAAACATCTTCAACTGCTTCATCAATGACTGTCCCTCCAACCTAAGGGGTAGGTATGGCACAGTTATCCAAAACCCCAGGCTCTAATGTTCTGAGGACATTGGTTCAACTCCGACCATAGCAGATGGTGAAATTTAAATTCAATTTTCAAAAAAAATCAAAAGCTAAAATCTAGCCGAATGGCAATACAAAAACCAACTTTAATTGTTGTAAAATATCACCTGGTTCACTAATGTCTTTTTGAGAAAGAAATCTGTCATCCTTATCCAGTCTGCCATACACATAACTCCAGTCCTACAGCAGTGTGGTGAAGATATAATTACCCTCTGAATTAGCCGAGCAAGCCACTCGGTTTTAGGGTAATTTGTGATGGGCAATAAATACTGGCTTAGCTAGCAATCCCCTCATCCCATGAACGAATAACGATAAAACTAAAGATCCAAAGTGGAGATGTTTCTTGATGATTGCACAACTTCAGCACCATTTCTGACTTCTCTGATCCTGAAGCAGTCTGTGTCAAAATGCAACAAGACCTGGACAATATCCACATATGGGCTGATAATTAGTAACATTGTCATTATACAACTGCCAGACAGTGACCACCTCCAACATGAGAGAATCTGACCATTGTCCCTTTATGTTCGATGACATTACCATCATTGAATTCAACTTTTTGGGAGTTACCATTGAACAGAATCTGGACTGGACTAACAATATAAATACTGTGGTTACGAAATGGCTCAGAGGCTAGGATTTCTGCGGCCAGTAAAGCAGCCCACTTGACTGGTACCGCATCTAGAAATATCCATTTCCTTCACCACAAATTCTCAGTAGCAGCAACATGCACTATTTACAAGAAGAACTTCAGAAATTCACCAAGGCTCCTTAAACATTACCTTTCAAACCTACAACCACTACCACCTAGAAGGACAAGATCAGCGTATGCACGGGTAACCCCACCTCCTGCAAGTTCCCCTTCCGACTACTCACCGTGTAGACGTGGACACACATCGCTGGTTCTCTAGTGTTGCTGGATCAAAATCCTACACAAAACAGACTGCATTGTTTCTGGAAGGCAGCTCACCATCACCTCCTCAAGGGATGAGCAATAAAAGCTGACCCAGCCAACACTGTTGATGACACCTTAGATCATTTTACTGATTTTATTAACAAACACTTGATTTGCAGAACCATCAGCACAGCTTACGGTTCTTGAAGTAACTGCTGCTCTGAATTGTCATGCTTCCATGTCTTTTAGTACTGTCTTATATGGGTCACCCCCTAAGTCTTTGTAAGAATCACATTTATTACCAATGATATCATTGGACTAAGACATTTATCTGTACATTAGGTTCCTAAAGTAGACACTTATACCAATCTCAAAGTCATTCTAAATGTGAGGATGTGATTGTGAGCTTAGCATGTTCTTTCACCCTTTCGTAGCCCATTTTCAATGAGTGACAGGTATTAAAATCAGCCTGTAATATCTGATGCTGTTGCATTGCACAGGCATTGAACATAATCTGCAATTTGTTCACTCAACAAGGATAATGTTCACCTAACCTTCATATTGGACAAGAATAAATACCCTATCAAAACTTCCAATTGCCGTCACGACATTGATCGCCTCAACCTCTCCACCCCTCTCACTCACTCCAACCTCTACCTCACGGAATGCGCAGCCATCTGCTTCCTCCACTCCAACCCTAACCTCACGATAAAACCCACAGATAAGGGAAGTGCAGTAGTGGTACGGCACACTGACCTTTACATTGCCGAGGCCAGGTGCCAACTCTCTGACACCTCCTCCTACCGCCCCCTCAAGTATGACCACCACCCCCCCCACAATCACCAAACCATCGTCTCTCAGACCATCCATAACCTCATCACCTCAGGTGACCTCCCACCCACAGCCTCCAACCTCATCGTTCCCAACCCCACACTATCTGTTTCTATCTCCTTCCCAAAATCCACAAACCTGACTGTCCCAGCAGATCCATTGTCTCTGCCTGCTCCTGCTCCACTGCAGTCATCTCCACTTAGGTTGACTCTCTCTTCTGCCCCCGGTTCAGGAACTCCCCACCTACATCCGGGACACCACCCACAACCTCCACTTCCTCCAAGACTTACATTTCCCTGACACCCAACACCCCATCTTCACTATGGACATCCAATCCCTGTACACTTGTATCCCCCATGCAGATGGCCTAAAAGCCCTCCACTTCTTCCTGTTCCACAGGCCCAACCAGTCCCCCTCCACTGATACCCTCATCCACTTAACAAAACTTGTCATTACCCTAAACAATTTCTCCATTAACTCCTCCCACTTCCTACAGACTAAGGGGGTGGTCATGGGCATCCACACAGGCCCAAGCTATGCCTGCCTCTTTGTAGAACAGTCCCTTTTCCACTGCTACACGGGCACTATCCCCCACCTCTTCCACTGCTACATTGATGACTGTATCGGTGCTGCCTCATGCTCCCACGGGGAGTTTGAACAGTTCATCAACTTTACGAACACCTTTCACCCCAACCTCAAATTCACTTGGACCATCTCAATACCTCCCTTCCCTTCCTGGACCTCTCCATCTCCATCTCTGGTAACTGCCTTGAAACTGACATCTATTTCAAGCCCACCGACTCCCATAGCTACCTGGACTACACCTTTTCTCACCCACCCTCCTGCAAGAATGTGATCCCTTACTCCCATTTCCTCCGTCTCCGCCACATCTGCTCCCAAGATGGAGCGTTCCGTTCCCGGACATCCTATTTCAAAGACCGCAACGTCCGCGCCCCCCTCCGGTGATCAAAAATATCCTATACCGGACCTCTTGCATTTCCCGCACTTCTGTCCTCAAACCCCCTCCCCCCCCAAAATAACAAACAGAATCCCCCGGTCCTCACATACCACCCCACCAACCTCTCCATCCAGCGTATAATCCTCTGCTACTTCTGCAACCTACAATCCAACTCCACAACCAAAGAGATATTTCCCTCCCCATTCCATCTGCCTTTCGTAGGGACCACTCACTCCATGACTCCCTCGTCTGCTCCACACTCCCCACTAATCCCACCACCCCCGGCACCTTTCCCTGCAACCACAGGAAGTGCTACACCTGCCCCTGCACCTACCCCCTCACCTCCATCCAAAGCAAACCTTTGATATCCGACAGGGGTTCACCTGTACATTGCCAACTTGGTCTACTACATCCATTGCTCCTGATGTGGCCTCCTTTGTATCGTTGAGACTAAGTGCAGACTCGGAGACCATTTAGTAGAGCATCTGCGCTCTGTGCGCGACAAACAACATCTTCCAGTTGCCAACCATTTTAACTCCCCCCCACCCCCCCCCACTCCCGGAGTGACATGTCCATCCTGGACCACCTCCAGTGCCACAATGACAACACACGCAAACTGGAGAAGCAGCACCTCATATTCCACGTTGGGAGCCTACAGCCCGATGGCCTGAACATGGAATTCACCAGTTTTAAAATCTCCCCACCCCCGGCCTCATCCCATGTCCAATCTTCCGTCTCATCCCCGCCTCCTTGACCTGACAGAACCCGTCCAGCTTCTCTCCCACCCATCCCACTGACCAATCCCCATCACTTCCTACCTGCACTCACCTATCAGCATCCGACCTACCTTCCCCAGCCCCACCCTCCCTCTGTATTTATTTCCCAGCACCCTTCTTCATCTCCATTTCTGAAGAAGGGTCCCGACCCGAAACGTCAACTTTCCTGCTCCTCTGATGCTGCCTGGCCTAGTGTGTTCCTCCAGTTCCACACTGTGTTGTCTCTGGCTCCAGCATCTGCAGTTCTTGCTATCTCTGACTGAAGCTAATGGTGTGTGACCCCTTTGGCAATAACCTGAATGCCTGGTGATGGCCCTCAGATGTGGCCAAGTGAGCCTCTTTTGACATTGTTCTGACATTTACAGTCACCATTTATTTTGGTTATACTTAATGGTTCTGAATTTTAAACAGGAAACTGCTACCTGGAACTATTAAAAATAACATACCACTGTGTTTTGAATGTTGATGTGTAAGAACACAAATCTTTTTGGCCCAGGTCATCGGTACCAAAGAACCTTGGACCTAAGCATTGGAATAGTGGTGAAACGACAATGCTGCCCAGTTACCATGGGTCTCTGCCAGTTTTGGAACTGCATGAGGTGCAAAAGAAAAATCACGTACAAAGACCTTATGACAACCAAAGTTGTAATTTGACTTCAAACCCTGAAAATCCCCTAAAGAAAGCAACTGGTTCCATTCCAACTCAGGGTAAAGTTACTGGTGCAGAGACTTTGACCAATGATTTTGGATCCTGTACTCTTGGAGAAGAAGTCCAGTCCCCTGAAAACACAGGTTTAAAGGTAACTTCAGTCATGAATATTCCAGAGGACAACTCAAACAGGTAAGATATATCTGCAAAACTAAGTAAACAATGCAATGTTTTGGAAATATAGAATAAATTGAGACCAACCTAACAAAATACTGTCGGGAGTTGGATTCAAATCCATTTGGACATTATTGGTTTAACGTGTCCTAAATGAAAATTATTTAGGTATGTTCAACTCAACGTGTGGGTTTCACATTCAGTAGAACTGTAAGTAATTCTGAAAGCTTTCCATTTTGCCCTAAAAATGGCAATCTCCCCAGAAAAGGCCAAACAAATGACCGAGGAAGGTAAACAAACATCTTACATGGAAGTGCAGAATTAAACTTTGCATCATATCTATGATGAATAAAAAGAAATGAATAAAAACAGTTTTGAGGCATATTTTACAGGTGGCTTTTTAAATAGTAAAAAAAAATGCATTGAAATATTATCCTTTCAACTCTGGGAGCTAAGAGTTGGCCTTAAAGATAAACTTGGATTCCCTGATTGAGCACATTCAGTGAGGATTGGCACTGGCTACAAATGCTGGTGAAGAGTTCCATCATTTTAATTGAAAAAATTCAGGGCTGGAAGGCTCTTAATGATCTGAAGGGAACTCTGTGAATGGTACACTTTGCTGCCAGTGCCCAAAGAGAGACCAACCCTCTGGATTTCCTTGTCTAATGTCATAAGCACACATAAATGAAACAGTATGGATGGTATCCATTCAATTCCCATCTAAGCTTAAGTTGGGATCAACTTAAAAATATAATACTTTCAAATTTGATCTCTCTCAATGACAGGACTCGAGAAAGCTTAGTTTAGGAAACTGTAAAACGCACATTGATGCATTCGAGATGCTCTTATGAAATCAATGATAAAGAATTTAAAAAGAAAGATTAAATGGGAGGTTTGCTTTGCATTTTACCCATGCCAAATGTGTTGATATGGAGGGGTGGGTGGGCGGGCGGAAAGGCTAGGCCTGGGTGGGATGTTCTTCGGAGGTTCCATACAGACTCGATGGGCTGAATGGCTTCTTTCCGCATTATGGGGCTTCTATGATTTTATGATATTGTATAAAAATTGTTCAATACACCAGAATTGGCATTTTTTAACTTAATGGGACATAATTTGTTATTCAACTAATAGTGAGGTTAACGTTGCCATTATTTGTGAGTAAATGGGTATAGCAGCTTTCAGGCAAAGAACAAATGAATGGTTAAACATTAAATGTCCAAAGTTACTGTACAATGTTTGCATGGCTCGGTCGTTAGCTTTTGTGGGAATCACATTTCTGTCAGCCTCACCATTGATATGCATTGACCAGTATGAATCAGCTATGAACTCGCATAGATAACAATATGGCAATTGTTAATTGCAATCAATTTCCCTGGCACTTCCAATTAACTATTATAAATTGTGGAATCTTCATTCAGGTAATAATTCTGGGAGATTTTTAAAACATCAGATTTTCCTTTTTCCTTTCGTTCACTTAATCCAACCCTTCTTTTCATTTCACTTCCCAGTTTGACATTAAATTCACCCACTTCATCTTTGCGTTCTTAATCTCACAATCCTTCAATCTAATTGTTTAAAGAGATTGCCCTGTTCACTCTAGTCTCAAATGCCCTGATTTCCTTGCTGTGCCATCAGCTCATGCTTTCTGCAACTGGTGGGCAAAAAGCATTTGAATTGAAGGCTGCAGGGACAGGATTAACTAATGAAGGATGTTTCTGGAGACCTCAATACAGTAAATTCTGACCCCGTAAGGAAAACTAGCTCTAATAAAATGAAGAATGAGTACCTGTAGCTCTGAAAATTTCAATTCTGTTCTGATAGTACAATATTCACTTGCTTGCTAACAGAAAGCAATTGAATTAAACTATATGTTTAATCTCCAGATACAGAATATTATGTGGACAAGTGTAAACTATTCACACATATGCAAGTCCAAATTTTGTTAATGTTTGTTCTCAAAGGAAAGTGAAACACTATACAAATTTAATTCATTTCTCAGAGTGCTCCTTTCTTTGTTACTGTTGTGGGCAAGAATCAGCTAGAGGAGGCTTATATATAATTAAAGAATCTATTGATAAAACCATGAGGGTACTACTTAGGTACCACAAAGTGGATGGGAATGAAGGACAATAAGCATTGAAGGGGCAAAATAAATCAAAAACTAATCTATATGTGTACATTCTGCAAATGTGTCAAAAATATTTGTTCAATGTAGGGAGATGAAAGACATCATAGATGTATCAATATGCCAATTAAACCATTCCTATGTAACTCATCAATCATTTCTTCCTGTACATTTTAGATTTCTTCTAGCAAGCTCACAGCAAAATGGAAATTCTCCAGTAAATGCTTCCATAACCAGATTTAAGAATGTGTGGCATTTCATTGAAAACATAGGTACTTTACTGTGAATGATTAATATCTTTGTTTCAAACTATTACTTCTAATATGATTTAAAGCGAGAAATTTGTCATTAGTATCCTCTCAAAAATGAAAAGGTTCAAAATTATGATGAACCGCCACATCCCACTTGTTTTTTTTTGTCTCATTGCTGTTGATTTTATAATGTGCATGTTTGTGAACAGTTGCTGCCAGCTTGGGGGCGTTACTGAGCCTGACAACATGTGGGAGGTGAACTAACATTAGTACATAGTTATTAATCCAAGGTGCTTCAGAAAGCTTCACTTCAGCATTTTTTTTAACATTATTTGCTCAGTAATTGCATCAAAGTAATATTATAAGGACAATATTATTTCCATAAATATTTCTAGGCACAGGCCAGAAGAAGAAAAAAACATGAAAAAATATCAATGGCAACTGTTGTTTAACCATTTTGGTTTATCCAACAGCAATCTTTTTGTGAACATTTTATTAACCTTGTCTCAGTGCTGGTATTCTCAGTTCTGAATTGGAAGGTCATGGATTATAAATAAATGCCTGGAAGTACAGAACTACAACATTGCTAAAAGGAGATGAGAAGTTGCAGCTTTTTTATCTTACAGCCTTTACATCTTCTTATTTTTCTGTTGTTTTAATTAGGACTGAAATGCGAAATGAATGGTTAGACAAAGCAAGGATTGCTGGAAGATTGTTGCAAGTTTTGAAAGCAAGTAATTTGACACTCATTGCAAGTATGGTTTAAGCGGCGGTTTGTTCAAGCAGTAGTTCCAGTGTAGTTTGCAGACAAACTGGAGCCACGTGGTGTGTGCAAGTGGAGATTTTGGGAGGTAAAAAGAAGCTGATTAATCCTATGAGATAACAACCTTCCACCTGCCAACAACTATGTGATTTGTTCTCAGGTGACAGAAGAGCTTGGGGCTGTGAACAAAATACAGAAAAGCTTATCAGATCTCTATGAGGTGAGGGGCACCGTGTTCTCTGCAGTAAAAGCCACTTTAAGCCTGAAGAAAAAGATTTTCTTTCATTCAACACAATGGCTGTAAGCTGTGATTTTAATTAATATATCATAGACCATAGACCTTTTATTAATTAGTCAGCTACTTTGTGTCTCTTACAAACTAATGGAAGCCTCCAGAGAACAAATACCAAGAGGGTGCATTCTGACCAGCATAACAATTTCAGAAACCTTGCTGTACCACTTACTGAATGGAAGCCACTGAATTGCCTTGTCTGTCTTTCCCTCCATCCATTGAACCTAGGTTTTTGCTGTGTAAGTTATAAGGATATTATAAGGGTTTTAAAGTATTAAATAATGGAGTTATATGATAATGATTGATAGTTTACCTGTAGCTAGAATCTAATTTTCTGTCAAGTACAGAATACTGGTCCATGCTTTCCACCAACCTGGATCTAAAAGACAGGTAAATTGAGAAATTTTGTGAACTTTTACAAAATGTTTAACTTTTGTAATGAATCCAAGAACAGCAGGACTTTGATTCTAGCACATTCCCCCAGTGAGTCCCCGTAACAAGAACTAGGACGATGCAAGAAACAGACTGTCTAGTCTGAATATTAAGATTAATATTTAACTGTTTCGGTTGCATCTCCATGCCAATTATGGCACAACCAATCATCACCCTCTTCTCATTCTGTATAACATGGTGTCTCTTTCATCGAATCTGTCTCTTGCATTCTAGTTCTGTGCGAGAGGAAAAGCTTTGACTTTTAGTCGCCTTTTAGCAATGTTTAAGATCATGGTTTCAAGACCCACTCCAAATACTTAAATACATAATCTAGGCTGACAGTCAAGTATAGTCACTAAAAAATAGATTATCAGGTCATTACCTATTTTTTCTATGAGATATTATGCCTCACTGGGGTTCCACGTTGAAGATCAAGGCCTGCTGTTCCTGAAGTTTTCACAAAAGTTAAAGATTTTAAAAAGTGTGCAGAGATCCTCTGTCTCTTAAACCTGGGTGGACAGAAAGCACAGATAAGATTTCTGTACTTGATAAGAATCAAATTATTACTGTTACAAAATAAATAGACTGTAGCTGAGAATAAATAATTATGAACTGCAGGCATATAACTCTGCCAGTTAAAACTGTAACCTCCTTATAAACTCCCTGATACATATAGACAGACACAGGAAAAGTACATCAGGATTATGGACTGCAGAAGGTTGGGAAAGCAGTTCAGTGGTCTCTGTTCCCAGGGTCTGCCAACGTTATTCTTATATCTTATTGCTTCTCACTCTCCCTTCTGTGGATTCTTTCATTTGTTTGCAGGCTGACTGGCTTTCATATTTACAGAAGGTTTCTGATTTATTAGTAAAAAAAAATCACAGATTGCAGAAACTGCTGGAGGGAAAATAACTGGTTTTCTTCAGGCTTAAAATGTGTTTTTTTTACTGAGAGAACAGAGATAGTTCCTGAAGCTGCAGTGATCTTCTCCCTGTCTTGTCCATAGCTCCAAACTGTTCAGCTATCATATAGTTCTTGGAACTTGGAAAGCCTTTGTCAATGATAACTAATCACTAGACCAATCAGCTACTTGTTGTAGGCTGAATTTTCAAATGTACACAACCCCTCAGATACAGCTCATTTGGAAACCATGTACTATTATTTGCACCAGCAGATGTGCAAACAGTACTTGCAATCAGTGTCAGATTACTTCACAAAAGAACTGTTCTTTTCCTCTTTCAGTCCACAATGAAATTATAGAAAAATAAAAAGGCACTGTCTTTATAGAGATCTTGCTGAACACAAATTGGTCTATATATTTCCTACAGCAGTGACTGGGTGTCAGATCTCCATCACTGATTGTTTTGTACTTTGAGATTTCCTGAGGTCATAAAAGATACAATAAAATTGCCAAGTCCTTATTTTACTAGGCTATATCATTTAAATTATTGGTTTGGTGCAGATTGTACAGTCTGATTTTCATGTGGTTTTGTATTACTCTAAACATAGAAAAAGGCTTCCATTTTCATACAAATAGTGCCCCAGGTTGCATGTGGCAAAACTATCAGCATTTGCCATCACTGTTCTGTGAAACTGACTACAATCTCTTGTCTCTAAACCTGCATAACTTCATGCAGAAATCTGGAAATTATCATTTCGGCGGCACCGCTCCTCCACAAGTTGTACTGCTGGAGATTTTGCAGATGCAAGAAGCACAGAATTAATTGATTTGATCTGAACTTCAACTTTTCATGCAGTATTCATTCTGTAAAAAAAAAATTGAAACGTTATGTCTGTTGAATGGGTCATAGCTGAGTTGCAAGGTGTACCAAGTTGTAATTACTTATTAACAACTTTCTGGCCTTGAAAAGCTAATTTAAAAAATTTGAAGTGTCATTCCCTCCATCCTGTGTTTTAAGAAAATCCATAGATCTTTAAAATGTGCCTTTCAAAAAAAAAAAATTTATGATACTTCAACTTCTAACTTAAACTCAAATACATGCCACAAAGTTTATTTCAATTTTTGTAAAATAACTAAAAAGTGAACAGTAATTGATGTTGTTTGCTCTCTGGACATAAAAACTTAAGAACATAAGAAATAGGAGCAGGAGTAGGTCAATCAGACCTTCAAGCTTGCTTTGCCATTCAATGAGTTCCTGGCTGATCTGCCTCAAGACTCAACTTTGAGATGGCCTACTAGTAGAACCATCTTCTAAATATCTACCTTGTCAAACCCCTCAGAATCTTGAATGTCACTCTTCTAAATTCTAATGACTAATGGTCTATCCTCTTTAGCTGTTCTTGGCAAGTCAATCCCTCTATCCCAGGAATCAGCCGAGTGAATCTCCCCTGAATAGCCACTAATGCCAGTATAAAACATGGGAACCAAAACTATACATAATTGCCCAGGTGTGGTCTCACCAACAATGTATATCGTTGTAACAAGACTCCTGTTTTTAAACTCCAACTGCCTGGCAATAGAAGCTAAACTTTAATTTGCCTTCTTAATTACTTGCTGTAACTGCGTGCTAATATTTTCTTGTTCATGTAGAAGAACACCTTGATATCTCTGCACAGCACCTTTTTTTTAATCACTCTTCATTTAAATAATAGGCTGCCATTTGATTATTCCTACCAAAATAGGAATACCTTACACTTTGCCTACATTAATCTCTATCAATGAAGGTGTAGCCCACTCATTAATCCTATCTACATCCCCTTGCTGATTCCTTCTGTCCCCATCACAACATGCCCTCCCATCTATTTTTGTATCATTAGCAAATCTGAAGGAAATTTGTTGTCCTTACCTGGTCTGGACTACATGAAACTCTGTAGCAATAGATCTCAGCTGTACTTTGATGGTCCCCAATAAGTCACTCAGATAAAGTATAATTATGGATGGACAACAAATGCCAGCCTTGCTGGTGACACCCATATCCCAGGAATGAGGGAGAAAACAGCTTAGATTATAGCTTTCCCCATGCACTAAGAAATTGAAAGCTAAATTTTGAAACTAATAGATTCGTATATAAGTTGAATAGTCTGACACAGAAAAAGACATTTTGAGAATATCTCTTCTGTATTTTTATAACAGATCTGATTAACTCACGTTCACCTTACACAGCCCCTTTAAAGGACATTTTCAGAGTCCTGTCTGTTGCAAGATCTCAGTGCTTTGTAATTCAAAGGCATATCGACAAAACTGTTTACCATTTCAGTATCTTACCACTTGAGTATCCAAAATTACACAGTACCATTAGCGAGGCTGTCTACTTTGATTGGAAATATTATGGGAGAATGCATCACACAATATAATTTGGATGTGACTGTAGAGTGAGAGAGGACTGACTTAACATTCTGCTAGTGCACCAGTAAAATGGTGTGTTGACTTAGAATTTCATCATCGGTTGGACTATGGAGTCTCCAGAGATGTGTAAAAATATCTCTGCAAAATCTCCCCAATGTTTATAAGTTGGTTCCTGGTGATGCCAGGACAATCCAGGATGGTGGAAAATCCTTCTGCCCGATCAACAGTAAGACTGCAGGCTTGAAGACCTATAGATCATGGAACCTAACAATACTGAATCTGCTGGAAACATCTGCTCCATTTCAGACAGAACATTCAGAGTTAGAAAGAGATTACACAATTTAAATATTCCCGCAGATACCTGCATGACTAAAGAAAGGTATTGGATGCAAAGTGTTGTGTTGCCCAGAGGGAACAAGCAATTTTTAAAAAAAGCTGTAATACTCAGAAATAAAAGTGTGAGTCACACTCAAGCTCTATTTGGACCAGTATGTGCCATTCACAAGTTTTACTGTTTTGTTTTTCCTCTGGGTGCTGGTTCAGTTGGCGAAGGTGGCAGCATCTCTTTCACCCAGAAATCTCTTGACTGTACCTTGAAGGGTTCTGCACTGAAAATGGTTCTTAAAACTTGCTTAATCTTCTTCAATACAGGTACAGTGCATGACCTAAGCACAGATGGTAATGTGGATTCCACATCTACCTCTCCTGTTAATTAACAAGCTAAGGTCACACAAACATTCAGACTTGGATGTTCATGTCATAGTCTCATCTGCCACAACAATTACACCATCCCACAATGTCTCAACAAAACTCCAATTCTCCAAGCAGAGGATTCAGCCTAACCATGCCCCATCACAAAGATATGTTCAGGGTAATATCAGCACCCACCAAGTCTAGGTTACAGTCCCGTTTGCATTGCAGTGCCCCTGACATTGAAAAAAAATGTGTTTAAAGGGCTGAGAAGTTTAGGCTGCTTTTTGTTTGGAAGCTAATTTCTTGACTTCACCTTTCTCCTTTGTGGACATTCCAGCAAATATATATCATCATTCATTGATGACCTACTTCAAAGTGTTTGCCAATGAGTCTGTGAAGCTGAGTGCTGGGAATGACCTCAATGACTCTTTGAGTCCAATTCTTTGTGGGAACTAACTGACAAGTCATTGATTCTATTCTCAAGAAGGCAAAGGGCAACTGAGTCACCCTGATTATATGGAGATCAGCAGTTTGAAAACACATTCTCCCTAATCCATCTTTCTAAATAGGTTTTTATGTTTCAATGTTGTCTTCACTGTGCCATTGTGGATCATGTCAGTGTAAGAAAATGCAATCTTTGAAAATTATCGGATTTGTCTGTATAACTGTGCTATTAATGAATATCGTGGAGTGTTTTAAGTTGAAGGATGGATCAGGATGCTGATAGTACCACAGGCTGGCTCTATTCATCCTGAAATGTTCATAATAACCATTTGTAGATAAAGCAATCACAAGCTAATAACATAGAGCTAAGAATTCTCAGATTGTTTCTCGTGATCTGATTTAACTGTCTTGAACTGCAGGCTATTACCACATAATGCTTGTATGCTTAGTTAATCTTAGTCATCAACTGAAATATACCAACTTGTATTACCCTAGAACTTCTGTACCAGGAATATCGGGAAAAGAGCACCATTCAAGAAATTGAGACAAGACGGATGCAAGATTGCACTGAAAAAGACAGGCCAGAGTTCACAGACGAAGCCAAGCCTCAGGAAGTAAAGACTGACGCCAGTGCACCTGTTCAAGTGATAGCACAGCCAGTCAAACTCAGTCAGGGAACAAATAATCTGGGCATGAAATTATGGCAGAATTTAGAAAAAGTAAGGAACAGCGTGGTGCTGAGTACTCTCAGTCGCAAGGAGATTAAACTCCAGGAGGTAAGACAGGAATAATGGCAAAGTCTGTGCACAGTTTTATGCTCCATGCTATTATTCATTCCAAAACATTTGATTCTTCAAAATCAATGTCACTCATTCTGCAACTTGTTTCCATCAGTTAACTATAACCCACTTGTGCTCTCTGAAAATTGCAAATGACAAGGAATAAAATCAGCTATTTAAAGTATTTCTCTTTTGCAATAACATCAGACTGCTGTGTTCACTAGAAGATCCAAGAATCAAAGAGAAATTATTGGAATACAACAACGAGGAGGTTAGGTTTTTGTTATGCCTGAGATGCAATCTAGTTGGTGACTGAAGTTAGAATTAAAATGGTCTGAATTAGTAATTCAATAAGATCCTTTTTTCTACTATGCCACATTTTGTCAGGTAACAGTGATAATGAGCCCGGTTTAGTTCAGTTCTGGTTTTGGATATGATTTGTTATATTCCTAGAAATTGCTGTGGTGAATTTTAAGTCTTTTTTTAATTGATGTTGTTTTGAAGCCCTAATACACTAATCATTCATCATTGCAACACTGAACTTACTCTAAAATTACAAGAAATCTTTAATAATTAACAATATTTTAAAATTTTATTTGAATACAGTACATTCTCTCTTCAGCTAACAGAGGAGAGAAATTTCTGCAGTTGTCAGTTTGTAAAGAAATTACAAACACCTTCTTCGTGCGTGAGTTTGCGATCTTGATGTTGATAGGAACTAATGTAAATCGTTCTTCACAGTGATGGCAGATAAGAATAATCAAAAAGTAAAGTTCTATGGGGATCTTGTGGTTCAGTAGGTACTGTCCCCTCCTTTGACCCAGAATCTCTGGGTTTAAGCCCCTCTTTGTGTTCTTGGCAATAGGAGGAGCATTCAGAAACAGACCGATAAACAGCCTTCTAAACATTCCAGCACTTCTGCACTGTCGCCCAAAGGAAAATAAAAACAAAATGCTTGTGCGAAGACATCAAACAAACAGTTCTGTGGAGATTTTGACCACACTGCCCAGTTGTAGGGATTTGTAAACATTTGCCACTTTTTAATGTAGTAAAAAAGATCATGTAAAATTTATGGCAATAATTGAAAACTATTTCTAAAAAAGAGCAGTTTGAGATAAAAGAGGCATTGAGTTCCATGCATGTCAAGTGTTCATGTTTTATGCAGATGGTCAATATTCGCAATGGGTAGCTGGGGTGTGTATGTGTTTCCAGGTGTCTCAAAGAGGAATTTAAATTTCTCAGGCTGTACTTGGCTCACCAGGATGAGCCAACATAAAGCTGAATGTGATTGTCCCACTCCATTCCCAGTTCACTCCTCACAGATGATATCTTGTGCTGCAAATCTTTTTTCAGCAGTTTGGAATCTTGCTGTTAATACTGTGAGATTGGAAAACCCAGCCTTAGAGTGCAGCATATTAGAATCTGCAACTGAAGCAGCAATGTTAAGGAGACTTTCAAAGTGGCAATGAGAGAATTTGGGAGAAGATGAGAGTACTTTCACTTACTGAAAGGGGAGAAAAGGAAAGGGTGGTCCTTTGAAATCAAATCAGCAAAGGAAGCAGAAAAGGTGTCTTTGTGAACTGGAGGTGAAAGAAAACTAAACTTCCTACTGAGGTAACAAGCTGTAGAGCTGGATGAACACAGCAGGCCAAGCAGCATCAGAGGAGCAGGAAAGCTGACGTTTTGGGTCTGGACCCTTCTTCAGACATGGGGGAGGGGATGGGGATTCTGAAATAAATAGGGAGACGGGAGGAGGCGGATAGAAGATGGATAAAGGAGAAGATAGGTGGAGAGGAGACAGACAGGTCAAAGAAGCGGGGGTGGAGCCAGTAAAGGTGAGCGTAGGTGGGGAGTTAGGGGGGGATACAATGTGGTATCAATGTGGACTTCACAAGCTTCAAAATCTCCCCTCCCCCGACTGAATCCCAAAACCAGTCCAGCTCGTCCCCACCTCCCTAACCTGTCCTTCCTCCCACCTATCCCCTCCTCCTACCTCAAACCCCACGCCCACCTCCTACCTACCAGTCTCATCCTGCCCCCTTGACCTATCCCCTCCCTGGACTGACCTATTCGCTCCCTAACTCCCCATCTACGCTCACCTTTACTGGCTCCACCCCCGCTTCTTTGACCTGTCTGTCTCCTCTCCACCTATCTTCTCCTTTATCCATCTTCTATCCGCCTCCCCCTCTCTCCCTATTTATTTCAGAATCTCCTTCCCCTCCCCCATTTCTGAAGAAGGGTCTAGACCCAAAACGTCAGCTTTCCTGCTCCTCTGATGCTGCTTGGCCTGCTGTGTTCATACAGTTCTACACCTTGTTATGTCGGATTCTCCAGCATCTGCAGTTCCTACTATCTCTAAACTTCCTACTGTATGTCTTTATACAAATCTTAAATTTGGGTAACCTGCTCTGACAATTATTAATTTATAAAATTATTGTCCTTACACATTGAATTAAACAATGTCCAATGAACCATGCAGGGGAACATGCCAGAAGCAGCACCAGGAGTATCTCAAAATGAGGTCAATGTGCTGAAGCTACAACACAGGACTACTTGTATGTGCCAAACAACAGATACAACATGAAATGGATAGAGCTAAGTGGTCCCACTATCAATCAATACAACCTAAGCTCTGCACTACAGCCACGTCCATTAGTGAATGGTAGCAGAGAATTAAACAACGAACAGGAGATTTGTCCTTTTCTAACAATATTGTTAGTGGACCTACTCCACATGGACCACAACAATTCAAGAAGTCAGTTCACCAGTACCTTCTCCAAGGCAAATAGGGATGAGCAATACATGCTGGTCAGTCAGCGAAACCTAAATCCTACAGACAAATTCTGAAAAAGAATCCTTTATACTACTGAAACTATAAGATCCAGATGCACATTGACTGTGAACTTGTCTGGTATTTACTTAATTTTTGAAGTCGATTAATGAGTGCAAGGAGAGGACCAATCATACTCAAAATTCATGTGACATACAAATAAATCTCAAATGCTTTAAGGATATTAAGATGTGAATTTTATTGCTGAACTACTTTTCTTCAGGCAATGTTTGAACTAGTCACCTCTGAAGCTTCTTATTACAAGAGTCTGGAGATCCTAGTTTTCCACTTCATGAAATCTGAGCAGCTTAGTGAAGCACTTAGCCCTATTGAAAAGCATCATATTTTCTCCAACATTCTAGACATCAAAGCAGCCAGCGAAAGGTAAGCAAAGGAATGTATAATAAGCTGTTGATGATTGTTAAACCTTGAAGTGTCATGACTTCACCTTTTGGAAATGCTTGGATTGACTTTTTAAACAGTTAATCATATTTACTTTTGAAACAATTTCAAAGTGAAGCAAAGAAGTTCTCCCTGTCACGACCAATATTAATCTGTCACTAAAACAGATTATCTGGTGATTATCACATTGTTGCTGGTGGGAGATTGCTGTGCATTAATTAGCTTCAGTGTTTGCAACATTCCAACAGCAACTACACTTAAAAAACACTTAATTGATTGTAGAGCACTTTGGGATGTTCTGAAGTCATGAAAAGTGCTCAATGAGTCTTTGTGTAACTCTCTAAAGAAACACAGATCTGAAATCAGAAAGGGAACAGATATTACTGGAGAAACTCAGAGGGGTCTACCAGCATCCATGGAGAGAAAATAGAGTTAATATTTCAGGTCCAGTGACCCTTCTTCAGAACATTCTGATAAAGGGCCATTGGACTGAACATTAACTTTGTTTTCTCTCTACAGATGCTCTCAGACTTGAGTTTTTCCAGCAATTTCTGGTTTTGTTTCAGACTTCAGGTATCTGTAGTTTTTGTTTCAGTTTAGATCTGTAATCTTACTGGCGTCTCCCATTTTTGTTTTATTTTTGAAGTTTGTGCTTTTCATGTAGAAGGTTTGTAGTAGGTGTTATTGCAGAAAGAAGTCAGTATAAACTACCCATTGACAGCTTCTCCATCCTGCTGTTCTAAAGTATCAAGTTTTAGAACAAAGTAGAACCGACAAGTACCTGTAACTGTTCAGTTTTCTCCCATTATTAGTCTTAAGACTACACTAATCATTTTGTTATCAGTCAGTAACATTAATGAGTACATTACTTTTTACTTTCAGATTCTTTCGGGACCTGGAGCACCGTATAGAAGAAGACGTTGTTATCTCAGATGTCTGTGACATTGTGTATGAACACACTGTCAACCACTTCAATGTTTACATTCCATATGTGACAAACCAGAGCTATCAGGAAGCCGCCTACCGACGAGCAATGTATGTTTTATTGATGTTTTTGTTTCTGACCAGGAGGGTATAACTATCCTTGTTACAGTGTGTGCACACTCGCCTATCACGTGCCTGGGTAAATGTGCCGCTGAGCCTAACAATAGATGCTGTGTCTCATCTCAATGCATAAAATGTACTGGTGTTAGCTATGTGGTATTGAAGTGGCATTTGAATTTTGAAGAAATCTGTTTTTCTAAGCACTCAGATGATCCATTAGCATCTGTGCAGTAACAAAGGCAGGGTTAATGTTTCAGGTATCATGACTCTGAACTAGTTCTGACAAAAAGTAATAAGAACTGCAACATTAACTCTTACTTCCTCTCTCTGTGGATGTTATCTGTGACTCAGTTGGCAGTATGCTTGCCTCGAAGTGACAACATTCTCGGTTCAAATTCCCAAGCTTGGATTTGAGCATAAAATCCAAGGCTGATACTCCACTGCAGAGCTGAGAGATTTGGAGGTGCTGTCTTATGGATGAGATGCTAAACTGAGGCCCCTCTGCCCTCTGAGGCACTATTTCAGAGAAGGGAACTCTCCCTTGCTAATGTTTATCCTTCAATCAACAGTACAAAAAGAAAAGATATGTCCAGTCACTATCACATTTTCTGTTTGTGGGAGCTAGATTTGTGCAAGTTGACTGCTGCATTTCCTACAATTAAGGCAGTGACTACACTATGAGACTGACTGTGAGGCATTTAAGATGTCTGGAGATTATGTAGTGTTACATAAATAAAAAGTCTTTATTTTCTTTAATAGATTCAAACTGACCTGCTGAGTGATTCCAACATTTTCTGTCTTTACTTCAAATCTCCAGTATCCACAGTACTTTTTTTCCTATTTTGTTGAATTGTTCAAACTGATATTTCAGATTCCTGTTGCAACTCAAGAGCAATGCATATTTTGTTAGCGTATTGATCGTGTTTCTTAGAGTGTGTACATTTCCATTTCCTTTAAATATTTAAAGTTTTTTTTTTAATTCATAAGATATAATGTTTTTGACAGCAGCAATATTTTTTTGTCTATCTCTGATTGCTGTTGGGAAAGTAACAGTGACCTCTCTTCTTGAAATAGTACAGTCCATACTAGTCCATGTTTGAAAGGGAGTTTCAGGATTTTGAACCTGTGATGATAAAGGAATGGTAATATTTTCATAGAATCCCTACAGTGTGAAAGCAGGCCAATCGGCCCATCAAGTCACCATCAACCCTCCAAAGAGCATCCCCCCTAGAACCACCCCATCCCTGTGTCCCTGCATTTCCCATGGCCAATCCACCCGACCTGCACATCCCTGGACACTGTGGGCAATTTAGCATGGCCAATCCACCTAAACTGCACATCTTTGGACTCTGGGAGGAAACCAGACCACCTGGAGGAAACCCATGCATACACAGGGAGAATGTGCAAACTCCACACAGACAGTTGCCCAAGGGTGGAATTGAACCTGGGTCCCTGGTGCTATTAGGGCGGCAGTGCTAACCACTGAGCCAGCGTTTCAAGTCAGCATGGTGTTGATTCAGAGGGGAACGTGCAGATAATAGTGGTCCCAAGTGCCTGGAGTTTTGTTCTTCTATGGAGATTCTGAATTTGGGTCGTGGTGTTGAATGTGTTTTGTTGAGTTGCTGAAGTGCAGTTTTTAGATGATAAGCACTGAAACCATAGTATGCCATTGCTAGAGGGAATGAAGGTTTATGGTAGTCCACTTGATATTAATCAAGTGGTCTGATTTGCCATGAATGGTAGTGTGATTCATGACAGTCATTGGATCTGAACATATCCAGACAAGTAGAGTGTAAACCATATACAAAAAATAAAATAAAGAACTCCAGATGCTGGAAATTTGAAGCAAAGACAGACTGCTGTAGGAGCACAGCAGGTCTGGCAACATGTGTAGAGAGAAAACAGAGCTAATGTTTTGATTTCAGTGTTCTGAGTTGAAATGTTAACTCTGTGTTCTCTGCCAGACCTGCTGTACTTATCCAGCACTCTCTGTTTTTGTTTCAGCAAACCATACACACCTGACTTTTGCCTTGTTGACAGTGAAAAAGCTTTGGGAAGTCAGGAGATAAACCACTCACCACAGCATTTCCAATCTCTAACCTGCTCTTGTAATCATTGTTTAGGTGTGGCTGATCCCCGGTCCACTTTCTGGTCACTGGTTACTTCTAATGCTGGGTGGTTTGGCAACAATAATGGAATTGAATGTCAAGAAGTAGGTGGTGAGATCCTGTCTTGCTGGAGATGGTTACTGCTTGGCACAATTGTTACTTGCCACTTATCAGCTCAAACCCAAATGTTCTTTTTCTCATTCATGCAATGTGGACATTGCTGACTAGGCCAACATTTATTGTGCACGTTTTGCTGCATACAAACATCTGAAGAATTTTGAATGGATTACAACTCTCTGCAACCATCAATGAACAGCTTCACTTCTGTTCTTACAAAAGGGGAAGGTTATTAATGAAGCAGCTGGATGGAGAAGGTTGGATCTAGGATACCATGCTGTGGGATTCCTGCAAAAATATATTGGGCTGAAAAGATTGCTCTGCAACAGCCATCTATCTTTGTGCTAGATATGACTCCACTGATTGGAAACCTTTTATCCACTTCCCATTGACTTTAGTTCGGTTAGGATTTTCATGTCTTGGAACGTAGAACGTTTACTGGTAGTGAACTATCTGAAACAACCCTTACCCAGTGCAACATATTGGTAGAGGTGGCAAATACCACAAAGTTCCAAATGTTGCCATCTGGGAAAATAGCATATGGTTGCTGTGGTGTGGATTTGATCCCTATCATGAGAAGAAATCCAGAAATCACAGAATAAAATAAAATATTAGAAAGAAGTGAGTTCATGGCTTCACTTTGAGAAGACACAGACATTCAGTCAGTAGCTAAAACATCTTTACCAAGAGAAAGAGACAGCACCAGCCATGGAAGGAGCAAAAAGGCAAGCTCAGCACTCTTAAAAGCAAAACTTAATTCAGAAGCTAGTAAGAACATCAGAGTTAAGAGTTTGGGCTTGATAAAGGGGTCGGGGGGTATGGTGTTGGGGGCAAGCTAGCAATGAGGCTTTAGCAATGGAGGCTTTTTAAGGAGTAACTGAAGGTTCCAAGAGGTTATGTTAGAAATCTTTAAAGGGAAAGGGAATGATTTAATGAAAAAGACCCAAAAAGAGAAGACAAAGGAGAGTGAAAGACAGTTCTCACCTCTCATAACAAATATGTTGTCATTGATCTGTACAAAGTACAGAGCAAAAAGCAGTGAAATGGCCAGGAAGGATATTTAGACTGGTGTTACAGAATAAGGAAAGCCTTCAAATTGATTTAAGCTGAAAACAAGCATGTTTAAAGAAATCTAGTAAGAGTCCAGTGGAAGAAATAAAGTTGAGATCCATTAAGGATTTGAAAGCACCGGGATTCAGTAATTGAGGTTGTAATTTCACCAGCAAGATTTATAAAGGCTGCAGCCAGAGATATTTATTTTAAAATTTGTGAAGAGAAAAGTGCCCGGCGTTTTACACTGTGAAAGGCAGGAAAGTTTCCATTTTACCAGCGAAGAAGCAGAAAAACTCAATTTTCATTGCAGACGATAGGAAACTCTGAAAAAAGATGGGCGGCTATCATTTTAACCATTAACAAGCAGGAAAACCCTGATAAATGTGGGACAACTAGTAAACCCTACAAAAACACAAATTTAAAAAAATATAGCTTGAAACCCTGCAATGACTGCAGAACAGCTGGCAATGCAATTTAAAGCTCTACTGAAGAATACAATACCGTATTATAGAAATACCGTGTTAAAAGCACTGGTATATAAAGGAAATACTGCAACATTTCTGTGGTACAGAGTCTCTATGTGGTCTTTCAATTTAAAACAGTATTAGTGAATTCAAGAACAGCAGATTTATGCAATATTGAAACGATACTGATTTTAAAATATCTTGACAGTGATAAGATTAATTATCGAAATGAGAAAAAAATAGTAAAAGGTATAATATTCCTTAACAGATTCAAAGTCAGGGAAAGACCATGTGGAACACAAGATTGAACATCATGAATGTGACAGTTATTAAGCTAGAGCATTGCCTCAAAATTAAATGCTGAGATTGAAGCTGAGCAAGTTAATACCTTATTTCAGCGAGTTTGATTCCTGATGTTAGTAACAGACAAAATGTCAGAGATGACAGATACTTTCACAGAGCTTAAAAGCTCTTAAAAGCTTAAAAACATTTTGATAATTAAAGAATGTAAGATCAAATAAATTTTGAACAAGCTAGTTTTAACAGAAGAGTTCAGTCTCCAGAAGATTCTGCAGACAATGAACTAATGACCTCAACAGATTAATGTGAAAATGCAGCTTTGAAATCAGAATTCATAAGAAAAAAATTGTCCTTGGGATGCCTGATGAAAATTTGTCAAAATTCTTATAGTCCATTGAAGATTTACTTTGGACAAAACTGTTCAAATTGTGCTGGAATCCGAAACTAGGAAGACTCATAGATAATCCCTGACAGGACAAGACAACACTATCTCAAGATGGAGACAAAACCTGTTCACTATAGTAGATATGGACAGTCTGAAGAGACACGTGAAAAGTTTTCAGACAGAACAAGCCAAATATCTGAATCTAAGAACCAGTGGCTGCACAACCTCACAGGTGTAAACAATATCCAGCATCATCGAGAAATGCTATATTTGCAAAACTGTAGATCACCATCTTATTTCTGCACATCTTCTGTAATAGTTTCAGAACAGCAGAAGTGCTGGTGGTCACAGACATAAAGGATCTATGTGGTAGAGCACTCGTCACTGTTAGAAACAATACTGGCATTTGGTGAAATACCTTCATTGGGCAGCAATGAGTTCCTAGGAAATAAGCTGATTCAGATGAGTCAGAAAAGATGAAACATGTTCTACATCACTGGACATCCTGTTGATTTTGTGCTTCATACAGGAGCAAGTATTGGTGATCTATCAGACGAGTTATCATGGATGCAGATGCAGAAATTACAGCCTGCAGAGATGAAACTACCATAATACAGGTGGAATAACAATCAGAACCATAGGAAAACAACACGCGTAAGAGTTGAAAATGTGTACATTATTTCCCGTCAGCCAATTTCACTTTCAAGCCTGCACATGTCTTTACCTCAACTTCATCAGAAGAGATCAACAATTGCTCCAGAATCAAACAACTATCCAAACACTGATCCAGGAACAAAACTGTTATTGGGCAACCACCCAAGTGGCAACTGGTAGAAAGCTTCATTGGATTTTCCACATTCATTGCAGAACCCCGGCAGAAGAAAGAATGAGTGCAATCACTTATCTTGGTATAAGACTGCTGTTTAACATTATCCACATAGGGAAAGTCACTGACTTCATAACATTTACGGAAACATTCAATCCTCTATCTTCTAAAATAGAGAAGTCAATGTCAGTGGCCGAGATGGTGCTGAATATGCAACAATCTTTCAGAAAAATGAATAAAAGTCTCTAAATTTTATTTCACCAACTGGCAACTGAAAACATCCAGCCAGATCAAAAACTCAAGGGAAATGAGCCATTTGGGACTTCATGGAATCAATGTCCACAGTTCAGGACACTATCAACAGGAAAAAAAATTACCTGATCAACACATCCAACATACTAGAATTAAAAAGCCACCTCTATCAATTCAAGAGGAACTCCTTGATCCAGGCACACAGAATATTATAAGAAAGTATTTTTTTCAACAGAGAACCATACTTCAAATTGAGTAGATTAAGGGGTCATCTACTGACAATATCTATATCATCCTCCACAAATGATATTTGAGAGATAAAAGATCCTCCAGTGCAGAAATGATCCACGTTGAACCATGGTCAACGTTCCTCAAGCAGAAGAAATACCGTTCTTCCCGACCCTGAAGAGAGTGTATTCTGAGAAAAGTGCGAAATGTCCAGACTGCCCACGTTTGTGAAGCCAGAGACTTGGGAGGGAGACAGCACAGTGGTAAATGTAATATAGTTGTATACACAAATTTTTTTTTATTAATTCATAGGATGTGTGTGTCACTACCTAGGTTGCCATTTATTGCCCATCCCTAATTGTCCTTGAGAAGGTGTGATGAGTTTCTTCCTGTATGCATAACAGGTTAACTACAGGGTATTGGCCAGGGTTGGTGGTGGCGGTCAGGTTAACAAAGTAATAGTTCTGAGGGGATAATGTTCTTGTTACTTTACTACAATTCCACCCATTTTACTGTTATTTGTGGTGCAGATAAGAGATTCTACTCTAGCTTATGAAGTGAGCAGATATATCTGTCCAGCCCCCCAGTGTCCTAGTAATTATGACTTACCAAATGTAGTTGTACTGATTGCTATCATGCAATAAACCTTGTTATTAAATAAGAATGCCTCTTTTGTAGATACTCTATGGTGGTGTATCCTCCACTACTAACCATTAGGTCTAAGACAAAGCAAAGTGAAACGAGGATTTGTGGCAGTGAACTACCTCAAATAACCCGTCCCCAGTATGGTGATAGAAAACTGGTACAGACTACATTGGTAGAGGTGGTAAATACCACAAAGTACCAGCAGTGATCATTGAGAAAATATCACTCAAAGTTGTAACTCCATTCCTGAAACTCACTACTTTAAGTGAAATGACTTTAACTGAATCATGTATTCCCATTGTAATCAATGTTAAAGCCAGAGGTAAGTTTTGCAGATCCTTTCTCTTCAGGGAAATAAAATATTATAATTTGTAAGTTGAAATATATTATGTTGCTAATAATAAAATAAAACAGCTGTGTTTTGAACTTAGGCACGTTTAAAAATATAGAAGAAAATATGATTTTCCACTTACAGTACATGTACATCCTGCTGACTTTCAAATCCTTGGAGATCCAGGGAAGTCAACTGAACCAAATTGAAGGAGAGAATGACCTCCTTCTGTTCTGTTAGTTTTATTGAGCTAGGATTCTAACATTAGAAATGGATCCAACAGAAATCTCCCTCCATCTCTAAGAAACAGCATTTTATTGCTTTGATGCAAGTGATGAGAGTTGGAATTGAGTTTGATTTTGGTACAACAAACAGCCATTCCCCACTACACGGTTCCATTAGGCCCAGCCCTAACTCACCTGTTATCCCACTGGTAGCGATTTTTCATGTAATCAGCATACACTGTTTCTAGCAGCAATCACTGGACGGGGCTTGGATTCCCGCTTCCTCGGCTCTATTTATCCTGTACCTGCCTAAGATCGCAGAGGTTTCAATTGTTCTGTAGACCGGATCAAAAAACTGTGTGAGAGAATCACCACCTAGTGAAAGCTACTTCTGAAGTTGAATAGGGCATCCTGTATGTAATTCTCCATTTCTCCTGCTCACTCTCAAAGAAGTTCAAACTCACTGATTCGTATATTGCTCCTTAATGGGATGACGACCAAAGCTGCTTCTGGTACTGCCTATTTCCAAAACTCTTGCTTGCATTGGAATTCCAGCATTGGATTGGATCTGAGTGAGGACACAAATAAGACAGTTGAGAGAGGGAGGTATTAATAGGAAACAAAGTTAAAGTGAATCTCCTGATATTTGATGAGGTTACAAGCTCCACTAATTGAACAACAACAAAGTAAAGCAACATTAAACAGCAACCTCAAATGAAGACCACTGATATCCATAAGTCATTTTAGGTAATTATTAAGGGCTCTTGTGATTTTATAACACAATGTGGTTATGTACTTGTCAGGGCTGGATTTCAAAAATTTGTTTGATTAACATTTTGAAGAACTGTTGTCTCAATTATGGTCTTTTCTTTCAAAGGGAAAATAATCTCCAGTTCCGTAATGTTATGGCTGAACTCGAGAAAGATCCCAAATGCAGAGGACTGCCCTTTCCTTCATTTCTTATTCTGCCTTTTCAAAGAATAACACGATTAAAACTGCTGGTACAGGTAACTATCTGAGTTCACTCTGGATATCAGGCTAACTATAATTTTCAGGAGAATGTATCAACAACTATTTGTGTCGTGATTAATGTTTCATACAATGAACATCATTGTGTGGGTGATGTGGTACATCAATAGTAAATTACATCAAATTGCTGAGCTGCGTCAAGTATCTCAATGCCTTCATGCTAACGAGTAAAATGGAATTCCATTTCATTTCTCCAAAAAAATACTATTGAGTGCTCCAAAAATTATTCAACAATTTGTGTAATATTCATGTTGAATTTTTAGAATTCTTTTTACAATTTTGACCCCATGAGTCATTAGATATGGACATTATGTTGCTTGAGGTAGTTTGATTGGGTGACAGGACTCAAGAGATATTGAGCTAAATTTGCAAATGTCATGGAGGGTTTGCATCATTGATGTCTGGTGAATTACCTCACACAATTCTCCGCTACTTACCTCATTATGTATGCAACAGGCCTTTGTGATGTTGGTCCTGTGTTATCTTGTAATCACCAATGGCAGATGTTCTCGCCACTGCCAGGATTTTCTTGGTTTTCAGTTTCATTTGCCATATTATAAGCCCAGCTGTGCATTAGGTCAAATGCTGCCAGCCAGGAACAGCCATTTACAGTCTATGTAGTGGAAGGAAAACAAAAAAAAAAGACCAGCTTCAAAAGAAAAGCCACATTAAAGTGGAACAGTGGCTCAGTGGTTAGCACTGCTGCCTCACAACGTCAGGGCCTGGGTTCCATTCCACCCTTGGGTGACCGTGTGGATTTGCACATTCTCCCCGTGTCTGCGTGAATTTCCTCTGAGTGCTCCAGTTTCCTCCCACTGTCTAAAGATGTGCATGTTAGGTGGATTAGCCATGCTAAATTGCCCATAGTATTCAGGGATATGCAGGCTAGGTGGACTTGTCATGGGAAATGCAGGATTACGGGGATGGTGTAGGAGGGGTCGGACAGGGTGGGATGTTCTTCAGAGGGTTAGTGTCTAATTGATAGGCTGAATGGCCTCCTTCTGCAGAGAAGGGATTCTATGATTCTGAGAGGATATAGGTGACACAGTAACACTTTGTGAGTAGAATATTATATTCACCAATACATTGGCACTTTAAATCATCAACTAATCTACTGTTGTTGCAAATGAAGCTACAGAGGCTACCCATCTTTAGCATCTACTCAACTGTTGCTACTCTATTCTTTCCCTAATGCCCATCATAGCATAACATCTTGTCGTTGGTAAATGTGGGAGCATCATGTGTTGTAAAGCCGTCAAGCAATTATTGACATTAACTTTTATTAATCAGTGGGGAAAATTGAAGAAAGAACAAACAAAAATGTTGCATTTGTTTCTGGGACTAAACAGAGGTTGATTGCCTTTGAAGCAACGACAAGTTTACAGTCAATAACTTATCACTGCAACCAATATCTTGAAAACAGCAGTAGAAGAGTCAAAGAGAGCATCCTAGTGGGCACACAGTGAGTGAGCAGAGTGAGTTAAGACAGCAAGCCTAGAGCCCTAAGGTACACTCTGTTATGATGCCTGTCTGGTGACGGCCTGGCAGCATCATTGCAATGAGAGGTGTCAACAAGTTTCAAAGGACTCCAAAAAATTAACCCGGTGAAAAGTATTCTAATTGAGTTGAAGATTTATTGTGATGATGCCGTGAGGCTGGTGCATGTCCAATGCCATGCCTATAGACAGCGGGTGGCAAGCATACACTGCCCATGGAGTGTGCCCTGAGTTGTTGGGGACTGCTGGGCCAGATGGAGGCCTGGAGAAGATGTTTTGTGTTCTCTGTCAGGAACGTCATATTTCTCTGATTTTGCCATATTTTCCCAATTGACTTTCCATTTCCCATGTCATTCAGGAGTGGGCAAATTCCACTCATTGTATGACATTCTTAAAAAAAAAAGTTACGCACAAGAATTTGGAAGCTATAGAATAAATTAAAGTGTTTTTATTTGTTGTGTAATTGAGATCATGCACTTAAACAGCCATAATTTGATTCTCAGTTCACTCCACAGTGCTGCTTATCACTTTACCTTCACGGATCTTGCTTGAACCAATCTCACTGTTTTGTAGCCGGTAGAATGCTGTGTTGGGGGCCAATCAGTTCCACCAGAACACAAGGCTGATATGGGAACTCTTTATTTAGTTTCTCCTGGCTCACCACTCTCTCTGAAATCGAAGTAGCTTAGGATCAAGTAATATACAATGCAACCAAATGAGGTTAACTTATGTTTATGAAAGTCCCTACTATGTGAATTATGACTCTGAATTCAATTCTGTCCACAGAATATCTTGAAAACAGCAGAAGAAGAATCAAAGAGAGAAAGCACAGCTGTGCAGGCACATAAAGAACTTGAAAAGGTACAAGAGTAATATTCCCTTTATCTATTTTTATTCAATTCTCCTTTCTCATATTTTGCCAGCAATTTTGACTTTGGATGAAACTGCAATCATACAGTGTCAACTTGGCCACCTATTATGCATTGTTCCTGATTTTTATTTCTATGGAATTCAGCCCTTCTCTTTTTCATTCCTTTTCTTTTGCATTTTTGTTATACCTCCCAAGCAAGGATTTATAATTCTCGACTTTTATATTCTATACGTGTTTAAAAAAAAGATTAGCACAGACAAATATAAGAGAAGGAAATTGCACTGCAATTTTAAAAAAAACCTGGTTTCACAGAAGAAGACACAATAATTTCTGAGAAATGCTGGCGAAGCAAGAATCCAATGGGAAGGGGCTTTCAAAGAAATTTGTATCAGTAAAAAATAAATGCTGGAGAAATTAATGGGAATGAAAGCTAAAAAATCCCTAGGATTTAATAATCTACATCCCACTTTACTAAAAGGAGGGGACATGGAAATAGCTCATGTGTTGGTTGTTATCTTCCAAAATTCTGTAGATTCAGGAAGGGTCCTGGAGGATGTCAAATATAGCCCCTCTTTTTAAAAAAGGAGGCAGAGAGAAAATGTGGTATTACAGACAGATTAGCCTAACATTTTCTAAATTCATTTTTGTGGGATTTGGGTGTTGCTGGCTGGCCAGCAAAAATTGCCCATCCCTATTTGCCTTAAAGAAGGTGGTGGTGAGCTGCCTTCTTGAACCACTACAGTCCACCTGCTTTGGGTGACCCACAATGCCATTAGGGAGGGAATTCCAGGATTTTAACCCAGTGACAGTGAAGGCAACATATTTCCAAGTCTCAATGGAGTAGTCGTCAGTGGAGTGGAGGAAATGCTGGAGTCTATTATATGTAATACCAAGGCACTGAGAAAATACCAAAGGGATCACATAAAGTCAGCACTAATTCATGAAAAGGAAATGGTGTTTGATAAACCTATAGTAACTTTTTAAGGATGTATTTAGTTGAATAGATGAAGGGGAATGAGCAGAACTGGTATATTTCAATTTTCTGAAAGTTTTTAACAAAGTCCGACATAGAATAAAAGCACAAGGGATTGGTGATAATATACTGGCACACGTTGAGAATTGGTTAGCAGACAGGAAATAGGAATAAATATGTTATAATCAGAGGGGAAGGCAGTGATGAGTTTTGGTACCACCTGAATCAGTGCTTGGGCTGCAGCAGTTTGCAAAATATATCAACAATTTGGTTGAGGGAATCAACTGTAAGATTTTACAGTTTTCTGATGATTGAAAACTAGGTGAGATTGTGAGTGACAAGAATGATGTAATAAGCTTATAAGGCAATTTAGAAAAATTGAGTGAGTGGGCAAATGTGTGGCGGATGCAATGTAAAGTTGCCGACTTTGATAGGAAAATAGAATGGCAGAATATTATTTAAATGGTGGTAGATGGGAAATGTTGATGTATGAAGGGACCTTGGTGTCCTTGTATATGAAAGCAAGTAAGCAGATGCAGCAAGCAGGTAGGAAGGCAAATGGAATGTTGGTCTTCATTACGAGAAGGTTTCAGTCCAGGAGCAAAGGAATGTTGTTGCAGCTGTATTGGCTTTGCTGAGACCACACATAGAATATCGTGTGTAGCTTTGCTGTCATTACCTATGAAAAGATGTACTTGCCATCAAGGATGTGCAGTGAAAATCAACCAGTCTGATTTCTAGGATGACAGGTTTCTGGTATGAAGAGGGAGTGAGTCAACCAGGGCTGTAGTCACTGGAGTTTAGAATAATGAGAGGGCATCTTTCTGAAATATAATAAGTTCTAACAGATTGGATGCAGGGATGATGTTTCCTCTGGTCAGGGGATCCAAAACAAGGGGTCTATGTTCTCAGAGCACATGATATGACGGTTTGGACTGGGTTTAAGAGAAATTTCTTCGCACAGAGGATGGGGAACTCATGAATTTACATCTGCAGAACGTGGCGGAAGCCAAGTCACTGAATATATTTATGAAAGAAGTAGATACATTTCTAGAGGTTAAAGGTATCAAGGGGTATGAGGGGACGGCAGGAGTATGGCATTGAGATAGAGGACTAGCCATTGTCATGTTGAATCGTGGAGCAGGCTTGATGGGCCAAATGGCCTACTTGTTCTCCTACTTTCTACGATTCTGTGTATTAAAGTATACACATATAACCATTGTGATATATATACTATAATACACAACAAAAGACTGTGACAGTGTACTGTATATTGATAGGTGTTCAATCAGGCCTCCATGTATCCATTTTTGGAATCCCTCAGCAATAATTTGTTATCCTATCTGATTTTATGCAGTCAGCTTTAATTATAGCATGGACACTTCCTTCCCATATTTCGGTTTGGTGCTGAAAGCTCCTGGGCATGAAGAATGTGGAGAAGGTACAAGGAAAGGATGAGGGAGCACAGAAAATTACATGCCAACATTGCTTTAAGCGTAATCCATAAATTTACAGAGATACAACCTTTAAATATAAATGACCATATTGGAAGATAAAAAGATTGGTAACCTCCTAAAAGACGGATTATATCTTTAGTAGTCTTTTAATAGTTCAGAACTTGAGTATTGCTAAAAAAGATATATTGTTGAAGCTTTTTCATCTTGCACTCATTAGGACAATTTGCAAGAATTATCAAAATAATAACTAAATATTTATTCAGAGATAGTAAGAACTGCTGATGCTGGAGTCAGAGATTACACAGGGTGGAGCTAGAGGAACACAGCAAGCCAGGCAGCATCAGAGGAGCAGGAAAGTTGACTTTTCAGGTTGGGACCCTTCTTCAGAAATGGTTTTCAAAAAAAGAACGATCCCGAACCGAAACATCAACTTTCCTCTGATGCTGCCTGGCCTGTTGTGTTCCTCCAGCTCTACACTGTGTTATAGCTAAATATTTATATTGTATTAGAATAAAGTGTTGATTAGTTAGTAAATTAACTCTGATTAATAAAGATGTTGCCATGGAGATTGCACAAGTTAATGATGACTGCTACTTAACTGCTAAGCTTTGTCTAAATTTTGTTGTCTTTGACTTGACAATGTGTCTTTTCCAGCAATATTTTTTAATGTACATTTTAGCAGGTACTGAGCCTGCCTGGGTGAAAAACACATCTGGCAAACCTAATGGCTGACACATTAAATGTGCAGGCAGAAGACATGCTAAGTCACAACACACTAATCCATTGTTTGATGGCTTACAAATTGTTGGTGCAGAATGAGATGACACTTAAAGCCATATGGTATATAGTGGGTTCAAGAAATCAAGAGAAAACTTGTCCACATCCTATTGTCTTACTGTTCTTTTGCAGAAATGGTAGCGATAAGCTAAAGATTTACCTTTACAACACATTCTTAGAATGTTTTACGTATTCTACACAAATCTGGGAATTCGCACACTTAATGTGGAAACAGCTCTGCCCGTTTATTTTTACATATAGTGTACGATGCTGCCACCGATATATTTTAATTACATTGGAGGTCCAGCACTTACTGGGCCAGCAGGAAAATTCCATCTTAAACTGACATGGCAACAACTATAAATCTCAGTGAGATTGTTAATCTCCATTCCTGTTAGGGGCATTTTCCAAGTCAAGCTTAACATTTTAGTATTAATAGCTCCTCTATAAAGCAGCCTTGCAGAAAAAAAGATTTTTCCACACATTTACAGATTAAGCCAAACAACAGCAGACATTTGCTTGATATTTTTTAAACACAGCCCCATGAAGATGTATTAACTACAAAAATCCATCTGTTGTTAGTAGAAATTTCTTCTTGTTGAAGGTTATCAAAGAGTGTAGCGAACGTGTGAAGAAAATGGGCAGAACTGAGCAGCTGATCAACTTTGAGAAGAAACTGGAGTTTAAAATCAAGGTATGAATGGAAAATTGTCCCAGCTATATAAGAATGAATATGTCTCTGTCAGTAAGCCAGTATACATAATTTACAGAACAGAATGCAATGAACATGTTGGAAGAATAAAGAAAATAGAATTATACATAAAATAGAGATAAAATTACTCTTTATACTGTATAAAAGAAGTAATATAAAATGTACATTACAATGTGCACATTTTTAATGGAATTCTCTAATTATAACAAGACAGTGTGGAACAATAGTTTTCAGGTAATCTATCATTTTCAGTGTGATTTGGATAAGGTTAATGAGTGGGCAAATGAATGGTAGATGAAATATAATGTGAATAAATGTGAGCTTATTCATTTTGGTAGCAAAATAGGAAGGCAGATTATTACCTGAATGGTGCTAGATTGGGAAAGGGGGAGGTGCAATGAGATCTTGGTGTCCTTGTAAACCATTTGGTGAAAGTAAGCATGCGGGTGCAGCAGGCAGTGAAGAAGGCAAATGGTATGTTGGCTTTCATAGTGAGAAGATTTGAGTGCAGGAGCAGGGATGTCATGCTGCAAATGTACAGGGCCTTGGTGAGACCACATGTGCAATATGCTGTGTAGTTTTGGTCTCTTTATCTGAGGAAAGATGTTATGGAGGGACTGCAATAAATGTTATTAATCTGATTTCTGGGATGGCAGGATACCGTGTGAAGAGCGACTGGATTGATAAGGATTTTATTCACTGAAGGTTAAAAAAATCTGCAGAGATCTCATAGAAACCTCTAAAATTCCAATAGGACTAGACAGGGTAAACATGGGAAGAATGTTCCTGATAACCAGGCAGTCCAGAACCGTGGGTCATAATCTAAGGATACAGGCTAGTTCATTTAGAACTGAGATGAGGAGGAATTTCTTCACCCAGAGATTGATGAGCCGGTGGAATTCTCTGCCACAGAGTGGTTGAGCACAAAACATTGAATGTTTTCAAACAGGAGTTAGATACAGTTCTTAGAGTTAGAGAGATCAAAGGGTATGGGGAGAAAGAAGGAACAGGATACTGTATTGAATGACGAGCTACAATCATATTGAATGGTAGAGGGGCTGATAGTTAACTCTTGCTCCTATTTCCTATGTTTCTATTTTTCTGGTCATAAAGCGATCAATAGACTATTTTTTCTATTATTACCAAAAGTTGCATTTAATCAAGACCTGTTGTCTCCCCAGGCTGTGCCAATCATCTCTCAATCTCGGTGGCTACTGAAGGAAGGTGAATTGGAGCAAATGTCAGGACAGAAAGCAACACGAACCTTTAGGAAGAAGAAACTGTTCAAGCCAGTCTACCTAATTCTGTTCAATGATCTTTTCCTAATAACCAAGAAACATTCCTAGTGAGTCCTTGCAAATGCATCAAAAATATTGGCTGTGTGGAGGACACCAATTTCAAGTATTGTACAGTCATACGTAAATGGATAGTTTAGGGCATGTGCCTACTGTAAGAGGTGGATTTCTTGAAGAAAACTTTGCCCAAGAGTGTTGCTTCAAATTTGGATATTTTGAAATCTGAAAATCTGGCTACTGCGTTATCAAGTATTTCTAGTTTCTGAAAGAATAAGTATCTGAAGTATATTGATAGAAAGATATATATGAGAGTATAAAATGGTTTGTTTGCAAGGTTCTTTTTTGGATAGATTCAGTAAATAGAAATGCTTTTACTAGGAAGCAGGATATTCAATGACTCTGACACTGGCCATTCACCTCATGGGTTCAGTTCAAGTCTCCTCTGTCTGATGGCTGTAACAGTGTTATATGAGATGAGTTTTGGATATTCTCAATCCAGTTCCTAATAGATTTGGCTTTGCACACAATCAACAAACAATTATAAATTCATTGCTAGTTAACGATCTCACTCTGAGATCACAGGATAGCTGGGTGTGAAATAAAAGGGAAGTAATGCTGGTCAGTGGGTGATAGTCTTGCAGTGTACTTTCTTCTGCAAGGCAGCTTCATTCTGCATCTAGTGGTTCAACATTTGCTCTGTGAGTACTGACTAGGGTTTACTGAAAAGGGAAACCTCTCCCTTCATCAATGCAAACTACCTTTGTCTTACGAACACAGACACAAGATTACCTACCAAAAATATTATCCCTATGATAATTTTTTTTTCTCCATTAATTTATGGGATGTGGGCATCACTGGCTGGCTAGCATATCTTGCCCATCCCTAATTGCCCTTGAGAAGGTGGTGGTGAGCTGCCTTCTTGAATCGCTGCAGTCCTCCTGCTGTGGGTTGAACCCACAATGCTTTTAGGGAGGGAATTCCAGGATTTTGACCCAGTGACAGTGAAGGAACGGTGATATATTTCCAAGTCAGGATGGTGAGTGGCTTGGAGGGGTTTACTTGCAGTTTACTCACTCTGATTGCCATCAATAATTGAACTTCCTGACTGATCCTGCACAATATCAGGGCAGAAACAAAGCTAAAAATATAACTTGTTCCTTTTCTACTTTCCAGCAAGTACAGAATTCACCACAAAGTATATCTAGTAGTCCTAGAGGAAGGATATTTGTGTTCACAGTGAAATAGCTATGATATAGCATTGTTGGGCCTCCAAGTCACGTCACATAGAGACAGATTAGCATTGGTTCATGCTAATAAATCTAGAATTGTCTTAACCCAGAGACAACTTGCAAGGAAATCCCTGTTGAAACTCTTTGCCAGGCTTTTCATTGTGTTTCCTGACTGTGATGTTGTTTTCTCTCTAGTGGTGACAAATATGAAGTGTTTGACTACGCACTCCGAGGTCTCCTCCGGGTCCAAGAGCTGGAGGACCAGGGTCAGGCACTTGCGAATATATTCATGTTGCGACTTTTGGAGAACAACAATGATCGTGAGGTCCAATATATGCTGAAAGCAAAATCACAGTAAGTATCTCAATAGAACCTTGCAGCAAATAAAATAGAAAGTTTCTGGAAATGTACATCAGGGTTCATCAATTTGCACGGAAACATTCAAATCTCCTCAATAACTTGGAAGATTGGTTTCATCAACTCCCTACCAGAAAGCTCCCTTGCATGTTCCACGTGCAGGTCTATTAGCATATGAAAAAAAACAGGTCAGTTAATAATTCGGATAGGGATCTCAATCCAAACTGTCCTAACAAAGAATCTCCAGCCTGTTTTCCAATATTTTCATCTTATTTGAAGTTGTCAGCATATACAAGTTTTCTTTTCTTTAAATCTCTGCTATGAGGTCCTCTAATTATTGGTAAACTTATGGGGTATCGAAAGCAGCATGTAAGATATTCTGGGCTGTTTCTTGCTGCCTAGAAGGCTGAATATTCTGCAGCTATGATTCTTTAACACCTCAGCTTGTGGGATGTGACATCATCTGGCAAAACTAGTCTCTTTGCATATTTTTCCTCCCAAGTTCTTATTTGTGAATGTGATAAATATCTCTGGGAACAGCAGGGCTGGCTTTCATCTCACTTGATCATGAAAGACACCAGGACAAAAATAATTCAGGAGACCGCTATTCAGTAAAGCATGTGAAAATGGTATTCTAATAATATACACGATGGAAAATATTTAAAAGCTTCTGCTATCAAAGCCCTTCTGAAATCTGTTTGATTTGAAATCCCGAGTGGACCCAATATTTCTGTCGGAACCAAAGTCATCATATTGAACAGTGCGATAGTAAGCATAATACAATTTTTCCAATAATTCTTTATCTAAAATGTCAGTGTCTGTAATCCTAAACTGTACCATGGATGGCAATGTGCATGTATCTTGTCAAAATCAGGTGAGGAAGGATGAATCAGCTTACCTCTTTTTGACACGCTCGGTTGAATTAAAAGATTTTTAATTATTGTTAGCATGCAACAATATCACACTACAACTAAATACAGTTTGCAAGTTCAGAATGAAGGAGCCAATTACAAGATTTTCTTGAGTTAAAGAAGTAATAATCTTGGTACGTACTAACAACAAGAAAAGCAATTAACCATGACAAACACATGCACACACATTTGTAGTTACCTTGGAGTTCTCAATGAGTGGATGTATCTCTGATTTGCTTTTTACTGGATGTTGTCTTCTAAGAGACTGAGGGCAAAACAGAGAGAGAGAGAACGAGAGAAAGAGAGAGGGATTGTGTATTCCTGTGTCTGGCTTCATTGCTTTATACAAGCTGGATAATCTGCAGGTGACTTCCATCCTGATGTGTGAAAATTTTAGAAAGGTATAAATCAAACTAGTGATATAGGTCTGAGTGACTGATTTCAGTCATTTTGATGGTATGCCCATTTCAGTTCAGACATGATCTTCTCACTTAAGATTTCATGAACTGGCTCAACCTGTGGACTGATGAGTAATGTGGCCATCTTAAGTTTGCACATTTCTCTTTCTGAAATGATTTTAATTTCTGAATGGTCTCAGGCATTACAATAAGATGATGAAAGTCAAAAATTGATTGTCCATTTTTACCTCTATAATAACAATCTGCTGTAAATGTAACAGTTTGTAATGAAATCACCATCAGCTGGCGCAACAGTGCAGGAGAGCAGTTGGAGCAGTAGAATGGTCCCTCTCTGGGAAAAAAATAGTTGTCTTTGGTGAAAAGAGGCCTCGTGGAATGAATGAGTGGACAGACAAATGATTCCTCAACCCTATGTAAAACAACGCGCATCATTCCATATAAATGGAATACAGTGTTGATTAATCTTAATTTCGCCTCATATTTGTAATGGCCCGATGCCACTCAAGGTGTATCATCCTGCACAGGACCCGAGAACTGTTCAAATATCTGAGAAATGAGTCTTTTGTCATCACTGCTCTTGAAGACACAATCGCTCAATGTCAGGGCTTGCCAGAGTGTCATGTGTTACAAGTAACTGAGTAGATTCCTACTTGGCCTAATTCTGCCCACAAGCAAACTAAAATGGTGTCCAGTTTTACAAATGTCTCCTCGACTGTCAAATTGAAGATAAATATTTTCTCCAAGTACACAAGGCAGGATGGAAAATTAAGGCCGCCTACTCTCTGTAATCAAGTTCAGAAAGCATTATTCAGAGTTGAAGACAATGATCTTAATAGAATTATTGTATTAGGTGTAGAGTGCTATTGCAATATGTAACTCTCTGATCCCAGGTGACATCTTAAAGAGTCCTAATGCTCAAAGTATCTTCAAAACACCTTCAAATTACAACCAACTAAAAGAACGTGAAAATGACTGTGAATGAATTGTATTGTTTCTTCTTTGCATTTTTAAAAATGTGATTCAAATACTAAGTGACAGGGTCACTGTGCCGACAATTAACAAATTTCGTTATGAGCTAAAACTTTACCTCCACTGTTTCACTTTGTAACAATGTAATATTGATAATGTCACTTTAAAGTGTAATAAGCCAAACAAAGAACAATTCTCCATCTATTATTGAAGGATTTTTTAAAATTAATATGCAAAATGTTTTGTGGTTCTGATGAAGTTGGAAAACTGACAGCTTGTATCCCCTCTCTGTTTTCCTGTGTTTTTCATGATTTGTTTCACTGATTTTAATAATCCACAAATCTTTCTTTGTAGGAGTGATAAGAAACGTTGGGTCCATGCACTTGTCCCAAATCGAAGAACAAAATATGTCTCCCCCAGCTCATTGCATTGGGGTAAGGCTTTATGTCATAATTTATTCCTACCCAGATATCCAACTAATCTTGCTTTTGTTTTTGATCAGGAGTGAGTTTTTCTCTCATTTCTTATACGAACATTTGACGAGCAGGTGAACAATAGGTCCTGATATCCAGACAACCAACCAAAAGCAGAAGGAGCTTTTCCTACACCAGAATAACACAATATCTGACCCAGAACTAAGTGCCTGTCTCGCCCAGGTTTTTACAAGAACTGACAATGGTTTCATGATCATCATTGGAGTTTTAGTTCCAAGTCTTTTAAAAAAAAAAGTCAAATTCCAGCATGTGCTGCAGTGACATTGAAACCTGGTTCTCCAAAGCAATGTCCAGATCTCTGGATTAATAGTCCAGCAATAATACCACCTATGTCACATTCTCCCCAATGCCACCACCACCACCCAACGCCTCAACTTCCACAATTCTACCCAAACTTCTGGAAGATGCATTAGGACTGTTAGTAGGCTATCCACCTGACGTATTAACAAAGCAATTCCTCTACATGAAGAGGATCCACAAATATCCCCATCCTCAACGATGGTGGAGTCTAGCACATCAGTGCAAAACATAAGAATGAAGCATTTGCACAATGTCAGCACAAAATATCAAATTGATAATCCACCTCAGCCTCTTTGGGAGGTCTCCAGCATCACTGATGCCAATCTTCAACCAAGTCAATTCAGTCCGTATGATAGCAAGAAATGAGAGACAACACTGGATACTGCAAAGCTATGGGCCCTGACAACTTTCTGACAATAGCATTGAAGACTTGCTTCTCAGAGTACATCATGCACACAGCCAAGCTGTTCCAGAATGGCTACAACACTGGCATTTATCCAGCAATGTGAAAAATTCTCCAGGTCTATCCTGTAAACAAAAAGTATGATAAATTCAATCCAGCCTCATCATCTACTTTAGGTCATCCATAAAGTGATGGAAAAGATTTTCAACAGTGCTATCCAGCTCTATCAGAGAATCCCTACAGTGTGGAAACAGACCATTCGGCCCAACAAGTCCACACTGACTCTCTGAAGAGCATCCAAACCAGGCTCGCTACCCCCCTACTATATCCCTGTAAACTTGTTCGTCCCATGGCTAATCCACCTAACCTACACACTATGGGCAATTTAGCATGGCCAATCCACCTAATGTGCACATCTTTGGACTGTGGGAGGAAACCAGATAACCCAGAGGAAACCCACACAGACACAGGGAGAATGTATGGAATGTGCACAGTCTCCCAAGGCTGGGATTGAACCTGAGTCTCTGGCACTGTGAGGCAACAGTGCTAACCACTGAGCCACCATGCTGCTGTTGCTTAATAATAGCTGACTCATAGAAGTTCAGCTTGAGTTCTGCCATGGGCATTCCTCTCCTGGCCTCATTACAGCCTTGATTCAAACATGAACAAAAGAACTAAACTCCAGAATTAAGGCAAAACTGGCTGTCTTTGACATCATGGTGGCATTTGACTGGGAATGGCATCAAGGTGCCTAATGGGAATCAGGAGAAAGAGTCTACTGGTTGGACACATGCCAAAGTAGGATGGCTGAAGTTGTTGGAGGTCAGTTATCTCAGCTCCAGGACATCTCTACAAGCATTATTCAGAGTAGTGTCATAGACCCAACCATCTTCAGATGCTTCATCAATGATATTCCTTCTGTCATAAGGCCGGAAATGGAGATGTTGGCTGATGTTTGCACCGTGTTCAGCACCTTTCATGACTTCACAGACTGAACAGTCCAGACAATGTCAATCTTGGTCTGATAAGTGACAAGTAACATTTATCCCAGAACAGTACCAGGCAATGAACATTTCCAACAAGAGAGAATCTAACCACTGGCCCTTCACGTTCAATGATATTGCCAAAGCAAAATCCCCCACTATCAACAGTCTGGTGTTACCACTGACAAGAAACTGAACTGGACTAACCATATAAATACTGTGGCTACAAGAGCAATCAGAAGCTATGAATCTGCAGAAAGTAACTTATCTCTTTATTAAAAATCTGTTTATCGTCTACAATGCGCAAGTCTGGAGTGTGACGGAATACTCCCCATTTACCTAGATGAGTGCAGCTCCAACAACACTCAGGAAACTTAACACCATCCAGGACAAAGCAGCCTGCTTGATTGGCACCACATCCACAAACATACACTCTCTCCACCATGGGGACACAGTAGCATCAGCATGTTCCATCTAAAAGATACACTCCATAAATTCCCCTCAGCTCCTTGGACAGCACCTTCCAAACCCATGACCACTGCCAACTAGAACCGCAAGGGCAACAAATGCATGGTAACTCCATCACTTGCCAGTTTCCCATTAAGCCTTCTTCCTCCTGACTTGGAAATATACCACTGTTCCTTCAGTGTTGCAGATTCAAAATCCAGGAACTCCCTCCCTAACAGCACTGTGATTGTACTGACCTCAAATAGGCAGCAGCAGTTCAAGAAGGCAGCTAGCTAGCTACCGCCTTCTCAAGGGCAACTATGGATAGGCAGTCAATGCTGGCCCAGCCAGCAAAACCTATATCCCACGAATGAATCAAACAAAAAGACAGTCTCTACAGCATATATTGCACAACTCCCTGTTGACATTAGCAACTTTAAATAATTTTAGAGATACTCAGAGACTTATCAGTGCATCAGGAGACAGTAGAAATCAAACAGCAACTAACCTGAACATATTAGGATAGTCATTGTGTCAAGGGTTTAGAGGGGGTGGATTTCTCGAAATGTATCCAGGAGAGATTTTTGTATCGATACGTAGAAGGCCCAACAAGGAATGATGCAGTGCTGGATCTGATTCCGAGGAAAGAAGCCAGACAAGTGTTCAATGTGGCAATGGGAGAACATTTTAGCAATAGCCGCCATAACGCAGTACAATTCAAATTTATTATGGACAAGGAAAAAGATGGCCTCCAAAATATGGCTTTGGATTTGGGGAAGGCAGATTTTATTGAAATAAAGCAAGATTTGGCTTCAGTTGTCTGGGATGAGCTCCTTGTGTGAAGTCTACAGCGGGGCAGTGGAGGCTCAAAAACGAGCTGAGGAGAATACAGGTCCAACATGTACCCTTTAGAGGGAAATGTCGGAGAAATAAGTTCAGAGAACCCTAGATGTGTAGGAAAATTCAGGACTGGATGAGGAAGTAGAGTAGGGCTTTTAGAAAGTCCAAAGGGAGCAATTCAGTTGCAGCCTTAGAGGAATGCAGGAAGTGTAGGAGGGGACTTCAGAAAGCAATTAGAAGTGCAAAAGGGGGATGTGAAAAAGGACTTGTGAACAGGATTATTGAGAATCCTAAGATATTTTATAAATACATTAAAGAGAAGAGGGTAATCAAGGAAAGAGTAGAGCCTGTTTGGAACCAAGGGAACAACATGTATATGAAGCCACAGCATATTGGAAAGAGTTTTGAAGGAATACTTCTCTTTGGCCTTCACTCTGGAAAAGGAGTACATAGGTACAGAATTCAGGAAAAGGGGCTGTGAGGAACTTGCATGGTTTGACATAGGAAATGGAGAGGTATTGGAGGCTCTGTCAAGCTTAAAAACAACCAAATCCCCTGGCCCAGATGAATTGCATCCCAGGCTGCTGTGGGAGGTGAGGCAGGAAATTGCAGGAACTCCGACACAAATTTTTAATTCCTCTCTGACCACAGGGGAAGTGCCAGAGAACAACTAATGTGGTTCCACTCTTTAAGAAGGGTAGTAGAGATGAACCAGGAAATTACAGACCAGTCAGTCTCTTGTCAGTGGTACGGAAACTATTGGAGAAAATTCTGAAGGAGCGTATTAGTACCCACTTGAAAAGGCATCGGTTAATTAGGGATCGTCAGCATGGCTTTGTCAGAGGGAGGTCATGCCTAACAAATTTGTTAGACTTTTTTTAAAAAATGTGATCAAGTGTGTAGATGAGGGAAGTTCAGTTGATGCAGTTCATATGAATTTTAGCAAAGCTTTGAGTAGGTCCCATACGGGAGACTGATTGAGAAAATTAAAGCACGTGGGATTGAGGGAATCTTGCTAGGATTGATCAGAAACTGGCTGAAAAACAGGACACAAAAGGATAGTGGTAAAAGGCTGTTTGAGTGACTGGAGGTTGGTGTCCAGCAGTGTACACAACGATCTTTACTGGGAACCTTATTGTTTGTTATATACATAAATGATATAGATGAAAATGTCGGGGGAGTGTTAAGTAAATTTTCAGATGACACCAAGATTGGTAGAGTCAATAATGGCAAAGAAGATGGTTGTAGGTTACAGGAAGATATAAATGGGTTGGTCAGATGGGCAGACCAGTAGCAGATGGTATTTAACCCTGATAAGTGCAAGGTGATGCACTTTGGAAGAAGAAACAAAATGAGTGTGTGTTTAATCAATGGCAGGATATTGGGTAGCTTAGAGGAACAGAGGGATCTTGGAGTAATTATTCACATATCTCTGAAGTTGGCGCAACATGTGAATAGGATAGTTCGAAAGGCAAATTGGATACTTGCTTTCATAGTCGTTGCATGGAGTACAAAGAGCAAGGAGGTAATGTTGGAGTTGGACAGAGTGTTGGTCAGGCCACAGCTGGAGTACTGTGTGCAGTTATGGTCACCTCACTACAGGAAGGATGTGATAGCACTGGAGGGGGTACAGAGGAGGTTCACCAGGATGTTGTCTGGGATGGAGAAATTGAGCGAAAAGGGGCAACGAGATAGGCTTAGATTGTTTTCTTTACAACACAGAAGGCTGGGCGTGGGGGTGGGAGAGACCATTATTGAGACATATAAGATTATGAGGGGTACGGACAGGGTGAATAGAGAGCAGTTGTTCTGCTTGTTTGAGGGGTCAATCATTAGAGGGCATAGTTTTAGGGTAAGGGGCAGGAGATTCAGAAGGAATTTAAGAAAAACTTTTTCATTCAGGAGGTGGTGGAAATCTGGAATGCACTGCCTGGAAAGGTGATGGAGGCCGGAAACCTTACAACCTTTAAAAAATGTTTGGATGAGCACTTCAAATATCATAATATTCAAGGATATGGGATAAATGCAGGAAATTGGGATTAGCGCACCTTTAGTGGAAGTTATTGTTGGTGCAGACTCAATGGGCTGAAGGGCCTTTTCTGCGCTGTATGAATCTATTGAATGATCCTTTTGTTAGTGCTGCTGAACCTTAGGAAGCTGGACAAATCTTCAGCTTTGAAAGATAATGGAATCAAATTTTGGCACCAAAATTGAATGAAAAAGAGACTTATGACAAACCTTGATGTGGTTGCTTGGGTCAAACACCACTGCCAATATGATATGATCTGAGTGTTCCCTATATGTTGCTAGTCCTTTAACATATACCACAAACACTGTGTTCTTGTTGAGACAGATATCTTGCAGTTTATGAAGGATAGTAAATATCTACATTGTTATAAAATCTCAGCTTTGCACAGTCTTACTAATGTTACAGCCGTGACTGTAACACGACACATAGCTGACTGACTACACACAAGATTGCACTGTGACTGCTGAAGATGAGACAAGGACGTTTATAGTGGAACATCACACATTATGATATGATCTAACTGTCTTTTAAAGTACACTGTCTTTCTGGGATTTACGAAATGATGCAAAAACTTTAGTTGTCTAATGACAGACCTTTATGTTCAGTTGTAGATAAAGCATTACCATTGTTTGTTATAATCTCACTAGTGTTCTGTGGTCTCTACTAGATTGTCCCCAAGTACAGTGTATCCAGAGGTACACTGCACAGGAACCTGATGAGCTCTCTTTAGAAGCTGCTGACATCCTTAATGTTGTGGACTGCTCGCAAGATGGTAAACATTATTTTCTGTTGCAAAGTACATTTGTAAATTTACAAATTTAAATAAGCAACCCATCTCAACCTTGTTCTATACTATCATCGTACAGACCTAAGATAACAAGGTGTAGAGCTGGATGAACACAGCAGGCCAAGCAGCATCATAGGAGCAGGAAAGCTGACGTTTCGGGCCTAGACCCTTCATCAGAAAGTTTTATTGCAGTTCCCATAGTGACAGGTTCTTTTTGTTTCTAATGCTGCAGATCACTGGGGGATCAAAAGAAAAAGCATTAAATTAGGTATTAGAGCACTTTAATTTGATGTTCAGTGGATATACCACAGTGGCAAATATCAACAAAATGCACAGATTGTCCGCAAGGAAATAACAACTGGTTGCACTTCCTTTTTATTGCACCTCCCAAGATGTTCTTGTAATGATATTGCACAATGAAAACTGAACTGAGAGAAACAGTTCCCATCAGGGGCTCAGTTGGTAGCTGTTTTGCCTCTGAGTCAGAAGGTTGCAGGCTCAATGCAAAAACAAAGGCAGGCACTCCAATATCGTATCGAGGGAGTTCTGCTCTGTTGGAGATGCTACTTATTGAGGCAAGATGTCAAATTAAGATCCCATCTGACTTCTCAGGTGGATGGGGTGTTTATCCTTAGTGATCTATTAATATTTGATGTGATATCCAAGGTGTCCACAGAGCTGTCAGTTGTTGCTCATAGATGAGCTGCAGGTATTTTCTAACAGATGGTCTGCACAGTTTCAGTCAGAGTACCACATTGTCATAGGCACAGGAGAAGTCAAGACAGGCCATTCTGATCTTCAAGCCTTACTGGAAACTTCAGTTGACATGTGAGGTTAGTGGAAGAGCCTACTCAGAGCAGCTGTAGTTGACCAAAAAGCCTGTCTTTTCGATGGGGGTTTGGAGGTGGTCGGCATTGCAGTTTCAGAATGGCACTCAGTCTGTTTAGCAGGAGGCCTCACAGGACCTATCTTGGAAGCAGGAAGATGGGTGGTAGCTGTGTGGCTCACCAAATGATTTCACTATCTTGACAATGACCACTGTCTTTCATTGACATCTGATGTTTGGAATGGTGCTATGAATGTTGGTAACAATTTTACTGGCCTGACTTGATTGATATCAGGACACTGTCCATTTCCTTTTGTGTGGAAAGTCTTGAGAAGTTTGTCTCATGTGGAGCACCAGACTCTTTGACTACTTGTGTTTGTCAGGTCTCTCTGGATGCTGCTCAGATGTGATTATCTGGGACTGAATTGAATCAAATTGAGTTTAAGGAGCCAAGCTCCCACTTAAACAATGGGCAAACAGTGGATTCTCCTAAAATAATTGGGTCAACACTGTTGCCACAATCAAATGAAAGCATTTTGGTATGTGTGAAGGCTCCACAGTGTGGGAAGGAGCACCCAGCTTAACAATGTATGACAAAGAATTTTGGCAAGTACTGCATTTAGGAAAATCTCCAGCTTGGCCCTTTCTCTACCTGTGACTGTTTGTTTACCATGAAAGTAAAGACAGTGTTTGTGCTGGTAATCAGTTTTCAGTCACCTGCCTTTTTTTCACTTGTCTAACCTGCAGATTGGGCAAAATTTCTGATAGCTGAGGAAGGGGCCGTGGATTGGGGAAGAGAGATGGAGAGCTGGGGTCAAAGGCAAGGGAAGTTTAAGGTCATACTCAATTTTACTTTCACAGGCAGTACAATGTACACCCTGGGAATAGGTGCTCTGATAGAGTATACCTTTAACTGTCTCCTTGGTAAAGCAGAATTCCTACATACCTCACTCTAGTGGTAAACACAAGAACGTGTGCCTTTGTGGACAGGCAACATTTTTATTTAAATAGGACCTTTAATGTAATAATATGCCCCGTGTTGTATCCCTGAGGGCATTAAAAAGCAAAATATAAAATTGAGCAACATTAGATATTAGGACAGATGATCAATAGATTGATCAGTTAGGTTTTAAACCTAAGGAGAATAGGATACACAGCTGGAAAAGTTTTGAGAAGGAATTCAAAAGCTTAGGACTGAGGCAGCTGAACTACAGCCATCAATAGTGGAGTGTTTAGATTTGGGGATATTCAAGAAGCCAGGATTGGATGGGTGCGGATAACTCAGAAGCTTGTCAGGTTGTAGGAGATTACACAGATAGTGAAGGATGATTGAGGTAATTTGTAGGGAAGAAAAGAGAACTTTTAAATCCAGGTGTTGCTTGACTGGGAGCCAATCTATGTCAGCAAACACTAGTGTGATGGGAGAACAAGATTTTGTGTAAGTTAGGGCATGAGCAGTGGATTTTGAAGTGACTTCAAGTTAATTGAGAGTGACTCAAAGATTGGATGGAAGGCAAGTGGAGCCAATTCTGTAGAGGGATACAGACAGGGAGTAGGCAGAAACTTAACAGATGGAATATAATGTGAGAAAATGTGAGGTTTTGCACTATAGAAGGAAGAATAGAAAAGCTGAACATTATCTAAATGGAGAAAGACTGAAGAAAGATATAGAACAGAGGGATCTGGGAGTCCTCCAGCATTAATCACAAAAAGCTACATCTAAGTTCAGTGGGTAATCAGGAAGGAAAATAGAATATTGGCCTTTATTTCAGGGAGAATGTAGTACAAAAGTTGGAAGATTTTGCTAAAAGCATACAAGACACTGGCCAGACCACAGCTGGGATACTGTGAACTGATTTGGGTCCCTTATCTAAGTAAAGATGTACTGGCAATGGATGCACTCCAGAGAAGGTTCATGAGGCTGATACCATGTGTGGAGGGTCTGTCTTATGTAGTGACATTGAGTAGATTGGGCTTCAACTGATTGGAATTTAGAAGAATGAGAGGTGACCTTATTGAAACATAACAAGATTCTTAGTGAACTTGACAAGGTAAATGCAGAAGGGTTACTTCCCATGTAGGAGAGTCCAGGTTCAGAGGGCATGACCTCAGAATAAGGGGTTGTACACTTAAGATAGAAATGAGGAGGAATTTTTTCCTCTCAAAAGGTAATGAATCTGGAATTCCTCACTGCAGAGGGCTGCAGAAACTGGGTTGTTAATGTATTTAAAGCTAAGATAGACAGTTTTTTTTTAATCAGGAAGGGAATCAAGGGCTATGAGGAAAAGGCATCAAAATGGAGTGAGACATATCAGATCAGCCATGATCTCATTGAACAGCAGAGCAGAGGCTGAATGGCCTCCTTCTGCTCGTACATCTTATCATCAAGACCAAGAGTACGTTAAAATAATCCAGTCTGGAGGTAGTAGGTAGATGGATGAGCTTTTTATCCACAGTTGAGAAGAGTCAGGCTATGTTATAGAGGTAAGTGTGGAAAGGAATAGATCTTCTCCTTGTGGTATTACTTAGTGACATTCCTTCATCTTCCTCACCTTACTGTAAAAAACCAGAAAAGAGGAAATCTACAGAGTCATCTATGATCTGTTACGGACCAGACCCAACGCCCTCAAAATAAATTTAGAACTTAGTCTAGATCTAAGCTTTTTCTTATTTTAAAGGTGTCAGACGTGTATTCCGAATGCTATTCGATGTTAAGCAAAACACACTTTATTTTTATTTTACAGTTAAAATATAGACAAAATAAAAAGAAAAGAATTGGCTTAACTGTAACTCTGTTGAAATGCTTAACAAAATAATAGATATATTAACCACTACTAACTAGCTGTTAGGCAAATTCAGTAAAATAGATTGTCTCACAAAAAATAGCAGCAGGAAGAGAATGCCAGCTTTTAGCTATAATAGAAAGAGGAATAAGGGCTTCGACATTTAGCTTCAAGACCCCAGCAAATGCAGAAAGCTAAAACTAAAAATCCTGGTTCTGTGTGAGGTTGACTCCACCCAGTCAGGCTGCTTCTATTATTCCAACTTTAAACTAAAAGAACCTCAAGTCTTCATAAGCTGTTTACTTATTGGCTTTGAGCAGACTACTTTGTACCTCTGTCTTGACCTTACTTCAGAAAAAAGGGGCATAATACACCTCTTAAAGCCTGTCACAAATCCAAAAGAACAAAACCCATATCATCAAAATTTCTTCCTATATAACCCTATCACAAACAACAAGGTTACAATGAAGCCCCTTTCCTCCAGCCATTATGTGGCAACCCAAGGCCCCAAAATGTTGGCATGTGGAGTATGCCAGATTCTAAACAGAAGTGCAGCACCTACCATTTTGGATAAGGATAAACAGCAGTGTCCTCATGCATTAGTAAATGAGGATCTGAATGCCTGCTTTGGGTTTCCACTCTGACGTTGGTTTATCCCAAGATGTCTCAGTGCCCAAAGAATCTGAGATAGTTAATTTCCTCACCTTTCTCAACAGGGAAAAGTGTCATGGCAACTAAATAAATTAGGTTAGCAAGTTCTGAAAATAGGAAACAACCAAATGACATTTAAATTATGAGAAAATTTAGCAATGTAATTTGTGAAGTCCCAACTTGAAATCGGGTCATATTGAGCCAGTTATGCTAACTGAGATTGCCTGCTATTGCATTATGTTCTGATGCGGTATCAAAGATCTGGGAGTCATTTCTTCATAAATAACCATCAGTGATAACCCAGACCTATTCTGCCCTCACAATCTGCTACAGATACAGTGAGGGGTTCTTTACCTTCAGCAGTCTATTCGTACCTGATAAAGTGAAATTTATGTAAGCTCCCGTAACAAAAGAACAAGATTGGGTAACATATACTGAAAGATTCAATAGACATTTGTTTACAGCTTTTGTGTTCTACATAAATTACAATCAGAGGCACAGCAACACAAATATGATCTGTAGCGTGCTTCCCTCCACACGTCATGCAGCAAGAGGATTCAGCAAGGTCGAAACTGAGACTTGCTAGCTTTGAGACATAACACAACAGCCTAGCAACATTCTTAGACTCAAATCCTTCCAGCCCTTTGTAATAAAAGATTTTTAAAAAGCATGTCAATTATTTCATATACAAAGTCAGTGTTTTGAAAGCTCAGTCTACAAGTCGGTGTTCAATAAATTCATTGGAGAGAAACTTCCACTTTGCTTACTCTTGCTTCTGCCAGTAATTAAAGAGATTCTTGTTCCTGCAATTCTAAGTGAGAGTTGTTGCACATGCAGCATTTCCCACTAATGGAATGGGATTATTGTTAGAGAGGAATCAATGACAATGAAGAGGAGAGAACAATGCACAAGAACAAGAGTGATGCTTGGAGAAGGAAGAGGAATGGCATTAGCTGCAATGCTTTATGGTGCAGGAAGTATGAGAGTGCTGCAGCACAAAGGAAGATGCCAGCTTGAACTGGTTTGGGGTTGGGTAGTATAACACTATGAATTGAGGGTGAACAATGTCTGTAGTAGGGTAGAAAGGGTAGCGGCAGTGTGAAGTAAGGGAGGAAAGGGTGCCAGTTTGAAACATGGCATGCAACAAGAATGCCAGGTTGAGCTAATTTGGAAGCGGACAAATTCCAGGTTAAGCTGAGGGGAGCGGCAAGAAGAAAGCCAGTCTGAATTAGGGTAAGAGTGGCAGTTATAAAAGGAGCAAGGATCATCTTGAAAGGATAAACACTCAATAAGGTGCAATCTCTCTGTGAATCAGTTATTGAGGGGATTGGATATCTACTCCATGCTAACTCATGTTCAAATAGTTCATATATAACAATGCATTGGATGCAAGATCTTTCTTAGTTTGTGTAAATTTGAATTATTTTCATGTATTAACTAATAGGTTCAATGACTGTCCTGTTAGGAAACTGAATGGTACAGTTAATGGTGCCCTGAAATGTTGGGTGCCAATATATAAATGCATTTGCCTGAATATTTTTCCTTCACTACTTTAACAGAAGATTTTTTTTTAGATTTGTGTAGGTTAAATTTCACTCAAACATTGTGAAAGAAAACAGAAGTTAATTCTTTATCTGCTTGTACTTTGTGGTCTCTAAGTCATTGAACAGATATCAAAAGTAAAAAGAGTCTACTGTCCAGGAATAACATTTCTCATTTGAACAAAATTTCAGCATTTATTAAAACATAGCTTTTTAAAAAATTAAAATATTTTTGACTAGCGTGTGATATAGTAGACAGTATTAAATGAGAAAGTCATGTTTGACAAGTGTTATCTTTCAGGTTGGATATTAGGAGATCGTTTGCACGATGGAGAGAAAGGTTGGTTTCCCAGCCCAGTAGTTGAAGAAATCAAAAATCCACAACTCCGAGCCCAAAACAGAAAAGAATGTTACCGAATCTTTAAGGCAGAGGAAAGCCATGGAAGTAAGAACAAAGAAGGAAGAAAATTTACCAACAGAAATGTAATCCATCAGCGGTGATAGAATTTTGACATGCTTGGATTTTTGACAGATTTTGAAACTCCCATCATTCTGCATGGCAGTGTTAACTGTGAAATTTTACCAGAAAGTTGTGAAGTATCAATCGTTTTTTTTTAATTCACAGAACACTACATTTTTAAAAGTTACTTCATTTGCACAGTAAATGCATGACTGAATTGAATGTTTTTTAACTGCAGAATGCAGCCATTAAATACACTGGAGGGAGATCATTCTGACCTTTTTTTAACTGACAACAGTTAATTCCCAACAAAGTATATTGGCAGCTATGTTGATAATATACTTGAATTGGTTAAGTTTTGCTGTACTTGGGTAATGTTTGAATGGAAAGAGTTCAGAGGATGAATTCTAATATGAAGTATGAAAAGCTCCAAATAGAATCCCAATCTTGAAGAATCCAGGAAGAATTACACTCCGTGTTGTGTTTAAATGCTGTAAATCTCCATATAAATGGTGTAGGGCACCTGTGAAGATGAAATAGATCTCTGCACCAGTGCAACAACTTTCCTATAAATGCCCACACAATCGATCAATTATTTTTATTATATGCTTGACCAAAAGAGTCTTGAGAACGAAGTTCATATAAAAACATTGAAATATGTAGAATTCAGACAGCAATACTTAAAATTCCTAATCTCGACCCAGGGATTTTAGAGGTATGTTATCTCGTAAATAACAAATCAAGGCACTTTGCCATTCACAGCAAACCATTTCTTGATGACCAAGACACATCAAAGACACCTACCACATCAAGAATTAAATCTGAAGCAAAATGTCTAAAATTTCAGAGTAAATCCAGCTTGCAAGAAAACTGGTTTTCTTTTAAAGATGAATGATGAAGGGAACTTGATGATAAAAGATCTATTTTCATTAACCTTTAATTTGAAGTTATAGCTTACTTTGTTAAAATGACCCATCTCAATTGATGAAATTTGGAAGTTTTTCTATCAAGCTATTAAAATGAAATGACCCAGTAAAAGGCAAAGGAAAAGTATTTTCTTCAACCCATGCAACAGTTTCTGTTCCCTCACTAGCAATTCCATTCCCCCTCCTTGAACACTGTCAGATTGTTTGCAATCGTGAACTTGCTGATATCTCCTCCATCATCAAAACTATTTAATTCCACCCCTGTAATTTAACCTGTCTCTACCTTGCCTCAACCAGCCTCTTGCTGAAACCCTAATCCAAGTCCTCATTACTAGACTCAACTTTGTAAAATAAAATTCTCAAAATTAAATGTTACAAAATATACCCAAAAGTCTGCTGCCCTATCTTAACCCAAGTCCTGTTCACCCATTACTTCTAACGTACATACATTCAAATTCCTTATTCTGATCTTTAAACTTTCTGACAGTTGATGTGCTTTTCCTTTTCAAGATAATTATTTGATGGGATTAATATTGCTTATACTTAACCCATAGCGTCAGTGAAGCAATGCATTAAGAAAAGGAGTTGTTGCATACATTTGTCAGTAAGTTGATTTCAGGATTTAAACTTTCTTCAGCATTAACTGTGTCATCAGAATTTTACTCGCACGAACTTAGGTTGGAGATGTACTTTAGCTCTTAGTTGTGTCAAAGTTATCAGCTGCATGGTAGTGTTATAAATATATAGGGCAGATTTTCCGCTGGGCTTAAATAATAGCTTTAGCACCTAAAGGATTATCCACCCGTCAATGTTCTGTCTTACAAACATGGACTTCATATTGTGCCATCACAGGCTGAGCTTTGAGGAAGTTTAAATGTGCAGCAGACCAGAAGGTTCTGAGTTAAGAAAAAAATTTGCATATATAAATATTGTGATTATGGATTAGTCATCAAGTGGGTCTTAAATATTCATGAGACATATCAAAGAATGCTGAATAAAAGAACAGAAGTTAATGTTTTGCATTGTAAAACAGTTTCAGCAATTTGTAAAGAGTTTCATCCACCATGTGTTCCTTCATATTACACAACGGGGAATTTCTGTAATCTTATAAAGAGAACAATTAAAATCATATTATAATTGAGACTGGTGTAGTTTTTTATGGTTTTGCATTGATCAAATTTGTAATTATATGTGTTTATTTGATCTCCTGATTTCGGTAAGATCTTATTATGCCTCATTGATAACATGCTCATGAGATGTAGGATTATGTGCTTAATTTGAATGAAATCACACTGCCAATAGGTACTATTTTAATGGCACAGTTCAGCCAGAAATCATTACACATCCTCATTAATTTTCAAAAAGCTAGGATGGCATACAAAACATTTGAGGATGTGAATATTTGTCAGGACCACCCAAATCATAGGGATTAATTTATAAGTAACGTTTCGATCGTTGGTTGAGATAACTAAAACACATTAGGAAAACTGTCAGATTCTTAGCTTCTTCAGTGGCTGAATGAATTTCTAGCAGTTACTGAGCAGGAAGTAATTCTGGAAACATTAGCCAGTCACCCTCAATCTCAGCACGAAAATAGCAGCAGATCTGGATGGGAGATTAGTCATCAGTGAACATAGTTTACAAATCTACTTGCATGGAAAAGTATATATTTTAAAATGATTATTTAATATTTTAATTTTTTAAAATCTGGAACAAGGCAATTATATTCTCATCATTTAGTATAATTACCAGTCACCAATATAAAGCTGAATAAATTACTTAAAATTAAAAATTGACAGAAAACCTGGTGGATTAAATACTTGGAAGGGAAAAGTCAAAGGACTGTGAACACCCAGAATGGACAAGGGAATTTGGAGCACTGCAAGAATGTGTGAGAGCACCTTCATGTTCTATGAGTACATTGGAGACGGGGATATGCAAATAATTGGGTGGTGGATGTGTAAAGCATGGGAAGTGGTCAGTCCTGGAATTTATCTGGAGTATGTGATACCTATGTGATTATCAACCATGAATCTCTGTTAAGTTAAAGAGGTTTGAGCTTGGAAGTACTTCAATGGATCTACTGTTGAGCACACTCAGATGATGTAAAGGGCTTGAGGGGTGGATGATGTGTCCAGGATTGGAGAGTCCTTGTACCATATAAGAGGTCTTTAGGGGGCTGATAGTTGAGAATTCTCAGTAGTGTTTGAGATATAAATAATGAAAGCTCTGTGATCTACAGCAGTGTGAAAGTGGGCTGTGGGATCAATCAGGAATCCTAAGAACACTAGAGGAGGGGGATTTAAGTATCAAAGTTGGAAGGTATGGATGGAATTTGAATGCTCTTAGGAAGAAATAGGAGAATCAAACTGGGTCAGAATCAAACTGTTCTTCTTGTTTTTCTTTTCTTATTTATGGAATGCGGGTGTCAATGTCTAGTCCAGATGTTATTGCCCAACCCAAGTGTCCCTTAGCCGCTGTAGTGCATTTAATGTACATACACCACAATGCTATTAGGGAGGGAGTTACGGGATTTGGACCCAGCAACACTGAAGGAACTATGATCGGTTTCCTAGTTAGCATGATAAGTAGTTTGGAGACACTGAAGGTACTGTGCTATGTTTCCTAATTAGGATGGTAAGTAGTTTGGAGGCAAATTTGCAGGTAAAATATTCTCATGTATCTACTGCCCTTGTCCTTCTAGATGGTATTGGCTATGGGATTAGCAGGTGCTGTTTAAGGATCCATGGTGAATTTTTGTAGTATATGTTGTAAACGTTACAAATTGCTGCTACCGATTGTTAGTGATGGAGGGAGCAAATGTCTGTGGGCTACTTTTTCCTGAATGGGTATCAAGCTTCTTGAGTATCATTGAAGCTGCACTCATTCAGACAAGTGGGAAGTATTCCATCACACTCCTGACTCATTCAGAGATAGTAAGAACTGCTGATGCTGGAGTCAGAGATAACACAGTGTGGAGCTGGAGGTACACAGCAGGCCAGGCAGCATCAGAGGAGCAGGAAAGTTGACATTTCGGGTCGAGAACCTTCTTCAGAAATGTGGGAGGGGGAAAGGAGCTCCGAAATTAGAGAGAGGAGGGGTGGGGCTGGGGAAGGTAGGTGGGATGGTGCTAGGTGAGTGCAGGTAGGCAGTGGTGGGGATTGGTCAGTGAGGTGGGAGAAGTGGTTAGGTGGGAGAGAAGATGGACAGGTTGTGTCAGGTCAAGGGGGCGGGGATGAGATGGAGGGTTGGACATGGGATGAGGCCAGAGTTGGGAGGTTTTGAAACTGGTAAAGTCCACATTGAGACCATTGGGTTGTAGGCTCCCAAGGTGGAATATGAGGCGCTGCTCCTCCAGTTTCCGGGTGGCGTCATTGTGACACTGGAGGAGGCCCAGGATGGACATGTCGCCCAGGGAGTGGGAGGGGGAGTTGAAATGGTTCTCGCGACTGGAAGGTGTTGTCAATTGTCGCGAACAGAGCGCAGGTGCTCTACAAAGTGGTCTCCGAGCCTCCGCTTGGTCTCACCGATGTAGAGGAGGCCACATCGGGACCAGCGGATGCAATGGGCCATATTGGCAGATGTGCAGGTGAACTTCTGTCTGATGTGAAAGGTTTTTTTTGGGGCCTGGGATGGAGGTGAGGGAGGAGGCGTTTCCCACACCTCTGCCTCACACACCCTCCCCCCAACAAAAACAAAGATAGAATCCCCGTTGTCCTCACATATCACCCCACTAACCTCCGTATTCAACGTGTCATTCTCCACCACTTCCGCCACCTGCAATCTGACTCCACTACCAAAGAGATATTTCCCTCCCCACCCATCTGCCTTTCATAGGGACCGCTCTCTCCGCGATTCCCTCGTCCGCTCCACGCTCCTCACTAGCCCCACCACCACCGGCACCTTTCCCTGCAACCTCAGGAGGTGCTACACCTGCTCCTACACCTCCCCCCTCACCACTGCCTACCTGCTCTCACCTATCACCATTCCACCTACCTTCCCCAGCCCCACCCCTCCTCTCTCTATTTAATTACGGAGCTCCCAACCCCCTCCCCCATCTCTGAAGAAGGGTCCCGACCCGAACGTCAACTCTCCTGCTCCTCTGATGCTGCCTGGCCTGCTGTGCTCCTCTAGCTCCACACTCCTGACTCATGCCTTGTAGCTGGCAGTCAGGCTTTTGGGCACTGGGAGGTGAGTTAATTGCAGCAAGATTCGTAGCCTCTGACCTGGTCAGATTGTTTATTTGGCTAGTCCAGTTCAGTTTCTGGTCAATGGTAACCTCAAAGATATTGATAGTGGAGGAGGATTCAGCAGCGGCAATACCATTGAATGTCAAAGGGTGATGGTTAGATTCCCTATTCGAGATACTCATTGCCTGGCACTGGTGTGGCGCAAATGTTACTTTCACTTGTTCCTGCAATCCTGGGTTTAATCTAGACCTTGCTGCATTTCAATATGCAATACTTCAGTATCTGAGGAGACATGAATGGTGCTGAACATTGTACAATCATCAGCAAACCTCACTTCTGACTTTATGAAGGAGGGAAGGTCATTGATGAAGCAGCTGAAGAAGCTATCCTGGATCTGAGATTGACCTCCAATAACCACAAACATCTCTCTATTTGCTCGGCATGACTCCAACCTGTGGAGAGTTTTCTCCCTGATTCCAATTGCTGGGGAACCATTGAAAGCACTAGTAGCTGTGACTATACCAGGAAGAGGAAAGGCTTGCATGGACATGAGCCAAGCTTGCTTTGAGACACCTCAACTCTGGAAGAGTGCAGGAGATTAGGAGCAGTGAGGTTGTCCATTAATTGGGTCCTAACACATCTTGTGACCCAAGACCCTTGGATGAAGGGTGCAGGATGTGGGAATTAAGAATAAAAAGCTATGACCCTGAGGAAATCAAAAGGGCTGTGTGGACAAATAAATGTCAGAATCTTAAATAAAATAGGTGCAGATTAAATAAAATAGATTTTTGATAGAGTTAACTTTTTTCTAAATGTAACGTTTATTTTATTTATAGGCTTACATTGTGGTCATATGAAGAGACTAGCGATGTATTCTATTGAGTCACAACGTTATGTTATAGTAGTAGTTGTAGCAGGATTAAAGACTATCTGAATGGTTAGTAATGAACTGATTTTCTGACAACTTCTTCACTAACTTTGATGTTGGCTTGTCTAACATCCAGAGATTAGGCTAAATTACCCCCATATAATTATCAGAAAGACTGAAGATATTCCTTCGTCCCCAGTCACCTCTTACTCACCTGACTCTCAACTCCTCTTTCCTGGCCACTGTCCGAGGTCAAAACAGATAATTCAAAGCTTTACGATTGTATTTAACCTCAAGCTGAGCTTCCAACCACTATCCACTCCATCACCAAAGGCCAGCACTGTATCACTGACCTGCACCCCTGCTTCAGTTCATCTGATACAGTCCTGGGGTTGCCATCCATGTTTTCGTTTTTCCAAAATTAATTAATCAAATGCTCTCCTGGCCTCCCACTTTTCACCCAGCATGTCTATGGTCACTGATCTCTACCGGTTTCAAGTCCAGCAATGGGAGGCCAGGGTTTGGAGGCAGGGTTTTGGAGGAAGCATGTGTGGATCACAGACCTACATGGAAAGCGGGATCTACAGGGAGCTGCTATCTCCTTTCTGATCAGTGTGACCTGCTGGACCTCTTCCCTACCCCAGAACTCATTGCGACAGCTTTGAAATTGAGGGCTGAGAGAAGGCAGCCCATGTGGCCCATAAAGTGCTGCTTAAGGCCCTCAACTTTGAGGTCCTCAAGTTTGAGTTGTGAAGAGAGGCTGGATAGGCTGGAATCTGTTTTTTTTTCCTGGAGCGTAGGAGGGATGATCTTATAGAGATTTATTAAATCATGAGGGGCACAGATGAGGTGAATTGACATGGTCTTTTCCCTACGATAGGGGAGCCCAAAACCATACGGCATAGTTTTCAAGGTGAAAGGGGAAAAATTTAAAAGGGACCTAAGGGGCAACTTTTTCACACACAGGTTGGTGCGTATATGGAATGATATGCCAAAGGAAATGGTACAGATGGTACAATTACAACATGCAAAAGACATTTGGACTGGGACA